GTGGCGTCACTAAGCGCGTTCTATCGTCTGTACCACGGCGAGTGTTCTGAGGAGTTATTCTTTCTTATCCCACCTTCCCCTTTCCTTTAGAGGACCTCGCGCGCTGGCCTACGTTGTTACCTTCTAACTGTGGCCACAATTCCAACGCGTACAAATAAATTTGGTGACTCATTTCTTTAACGCACTATCCATAAATGGAATGCTCTGCCCGCTCACGTGTTCCCTCCCTGCAACATACAGGCCGGCAGGGTGAGGATGGCTGGTGTGGCAGGTAGAACTGCTGTATAAGCTATCTTCGCATTTGGACTTCACCTTCACTTAACATCAGGTGGGATGGAGTCATTTGCCGGACCTATCTATAAAAAAAACACCTAAAATAGTGTTAAAATGACTAAATTAAAAATCACGCAAAAAGCTAGGTATGGTCATTTAGTTTTTTTATTGCTCCTATAAAATTTAATTTGATGTAATTGTACCGTTTTGTTCGCCAGCTCCTCACATCTACTAAAGCAATGTCCATATTTATCATTTAAATAAAAAACACAAATTATAAGCGAAATTATATAATTACAGACAACGTTTAACTGAATAAAGATTTTCTTTTATTTAAACACATTCCTTATACTAATAGATTTAATTAAAAAAAATATTTAGATCGAATCTATAAAGGTTTTTCCTTAGATAAAACGCCAAAAGAAAAATAATTATGGATAAAGCAATTTTCTAATCAATTGGCATTCAACAGTTCGCCCTCCAAATGTTTCAAAACATAAGAGAATTATTTCAAATCACAATTTCTTAAAAAATACATTTTATTAAACCTATAATTACATAATTTTATTATTCCAACTGAAAAGCAATCATGCGGTAACCAATTTCAGTTCAATGACATTCCGTTTTAAATTCTGCTCTGAAATATTGCTCTTGATTTTTACGGGTTAACTTGCAATATAATCACATATTTTGATTTTTTTTTAATTATTATTCTATAATCTATATATCAACATTAGTCGCGCCTTTCTTTGAGGTATTTACCCACTATACCAGACTCTGATAAAATTGTTTTGACTTGATATTAACAAACAAAATAGCCATTTTGTTCTCGTGTGTTAACATCACATACCTAACATACGTATTCCAATTAAAACTAAATCAATAGCGATTTCAGAAGTGACAATCGTCTGTACACAATTAATTTCGGTATTTGTTACGGTCCTAATAAGATTATTTAATTTATTGCCAATTTTAATAATCAACCTCCAGTAAAAGGTCAGAACAATCTGGTTCAATTTCTGATATGCTGTTTTCCCATCAGAGAAGCTCGATTGCACAAGTGGTAAGCGCATTAAGTCTGCTATCGTAGAAGTTAAGAAACTTTCACAAAGGATGGGTGACCAAATATTCAGTAATTTTTTCTATCAATATCGAGCTTCTCAGTGTTTTGAAAGTCACTTAAGGCGCTGTCTTCCTTCGGCTGCATCTGCAGGCACCAAGCCCTGGTCCCGCCAGTGGGTCATGGCCCAATCTCCTTATTTTATGTATAAAGGCCTTTGCCCCGGCAGAGGGGACATTAATAGGATGATGATTAGGATTATCCCTTAGTGGAGTTTGATTTATTGAAACTGGCTATTAGTCGGTAGACCTTATGTGTGAGGTACCTATTGGCATCCCTCGTATGAACCCGATCATTTTATTATGCGAGCGGGGTTCTGAAGTTTTTCATTTGGTAACTAATTTACCCCATATTTTGGTCAAATCAACCGCACTTATTCACTGAGAGGTATATTCCACAGCCTCGATCCGATCAATTTGCAACTTTCTATAGGTAGAAAAGTTTGTCTACCTTATTTGCGTTTATTGAGACATTCGACGTGATCATCATTTTAAAAAAAGGCCAAGTTTTGGTTCAAATAAAGTCTAAATGGGACTTTACAGCAGTGTTAAATCAAGCTAATTTTAAGGAATTGAAAATTTCATAAACCATGACAAAACCTTTAAGTTAATTTAATCAAAAAATCTTACGTTAATCTAATATTGCACATATTCACGGGATAGCTGACCTGACAGGTATTTAAAATCACATTGAAATTACAGCAAGACTATAATGTTGAATTACCGCCCTTCTTTGGTAAAAACAACTGAATGATAACGCTTTATCAGCAGGGCATGCACTCTGATACGATTGTCATATATCACAAAAAAAACCACGGAAAAACAAGATGCGATTAAACATCTCAATACGGGTTTAACCTTTAGTAAAAAGAATGACTTTTCACTCGCGCAAAAACACAGAAGCGTAGCTCCATTGAAAAAAGCTACAGGGGCCACGCACACTCAGATGTGAACCTCAAATTTAACACCAACGAAGCATCCCCAAGAATATTCGAGTATTCTGTACGTGTGTTTGAGTGTACTTGTAACCGTTTCATCATTTTCTAAGAAGTTGCTACACTGTATTGCCACATGAGTTAGGAAGGCACTGAGATAAAGCTTCCTACAATAGCGATATGACAGGGAAAATAAACTAAATGCAGTCCGTCAGTTAATTATCAAAAAATAATGGAAACTTATTTTTTCTTTTGTCAATTATCCAAAAACGACAAAGAAAAACCGTGTAAAATTTAGGTGTGGGGGCTCGTGACGTCACTTCTAAGTGAAAATTGTACCAAGGCTCACGCTTTAAAGCATAGAGATTTTAATTCTTTGGTAGAAAAGGTCTTCAAATTTTGTTATAAGTTTTGGATTCATTAGTCGCCAATTTTATGATACTCAAATAGGCAAAGGCATTTACTCCACTCGCTCCTATAAAAAGATCTTCACATGCATCACGCCTTGGTGACGTCACCGTCTACGAAATTTCAATATAACATCTCTGTAATGTTTTGATTATGTGAAAAACAAAATACATGTCCAATACTTTTTGATAATCTACGTCCTGATAGATAGAGAGAAAAAATAGTCATTATCCCTATTGAGTATGTGTGAGTGAGCACTAGCGCCTGTCGCGTATGCAGAGAAACGCCAGTGCCCACTCACGCTTTACCTCTGTGCCTTCTTACTCATGTGGCATTGCTTCATGGCTCGTGTCCAATCGGCGTGGAATCGAATATCGCTCGCCTGCGACAAAAGCCGTCTATCAGACATTCACATTATTCATGAATTTGACGCTCTGAAACTACGCGCCTTACTTGCTCGCATTTGTCACTCATTCGATTCTACGGCGATACTTTATCGTTTTTCCTGTTTTCCTGTTAGTGTTATCCTTCAAATTACCTTTTTTGGATTTTTTGGTCAACTGATGGTTCATAGTTTAAAACATTAAATTTTATTGTAGATAGAACAAGTCTTTTAAATTTGTTAAAAGTTTTGGGTTCTTTAGTCGCCAATTTATTGGGACACAAATTGGGAAAGGACGTTTACTCCACTCGCTCCTATAAAATGATCTTCACATCCATGACTACTATATACTTCATCATCATCATCATCAGCCTATTAATGTCCCCACTGCTGGGGCACAGGCCACCCACCACGCGGGCCCAGTGCGGATTGGCGGGTGCTAACGACTGCAGATGCAACCGGGACCAACGGCTTAACGTGCTTTTCAGAAGCACGGAGGAACTCGAGATAGAAGATTTTTGGTCACCCATCCAATGACCGACCACTGCGAGAGTTGCTTAACTTCAACTATCGCAGCCGAACGCGCTAACCACCTGCGCCACCTGCAGGAGCTCCTCATATATACTTATTTTTCAGTAATAAGTTATTCTACAATATACCCTTTTTTTTTCAATAATAACTTATTCTTGTACTATTCATCCTACGCTGTTTTATTACAATAATATCCACCTGTCCACACACTATTTTTCTAAGATTAGGAGATAAGGTCTGGTTAGTGGTTAGGAAACATACGCTCTCTGATCTTCCGATATCATGGTCGTATCCGTAATGCCTGATTTATTTATACACATAAAAAAATCTTGCTAAAACCAGAAGAATCACAATAAAGCTTGTAGAGCTACTACGAGTATTACACTACAGTTCTTGGCGACTGCATTGCCACAGTGGAATGCAGACATTAAAAATCATGTTAGCTTATAAAGTATAGACTAAACTCAATACTAAACTCAAGCTGCTAAGACTTTTTTTTCATATTCAAATTTACAATCCGAGCTTGTGAACATATTTTGCTTAGTTTACTTAAATAGTTCGCTTATGAATGCACGTGAGCGATACGAAACAAAGCTTAGGTAAATAATAAAGCTAAATTAACTATGTCATTTGAAAATTTTGAATTATTTTCTACTTCAGTATAATAATCTATACAGGCAGTGGTTTTTTTTAATCCAGCCTTGGGTAGCACTTCTAACTTAATTTATCTAATAATATAAAAAAAACAAAATTTAAATAAAAATGCTTCACTTGAGAATGGCTTAAGGTGTAGTAAGATAGGAAAAAATATTTATCTTTTTGACTTAAAACAATTGCCAATTTGCCACATATAGGTAAGTAAGTGATAATTTCTTTACCTATTCATTTTGTACAGGGTAGATTGTCTATTATGTAACCACAGTTTTGTTACAATTTTCTCTTTCTCAACCTTCATATTCTTCGATCTGACATAGGTTCCGCTTATTTGTTATCGAGTACAGAATCCAATTAACCCCGAACGTCATCGTAGTAATTCATTTAAAAGGGAATTTTACATAAGATGCTATCGAATATATCCGAAATTTTCTAATACATAATTTAGAATAAAGATACAGGCAATCAAACCCTAGAATCTAGGGTTCTAAACCTTTCTATGGCCTAGATTTTAGGGTAAGGCGTCCATTGGACGGTTGCTTTTGCTGTCGCTTTGCTGACAGTCCATCTTATATATGCCTGATGGAAAACTGACGTCTGATGGAGTGACTGGTGACTTTTTCTTTCGTTTTTTATCATTCAAATTAATAGGCAGACGGCTACATGAGTGTCTAATAGATGCCTAATTATACAGGAAATTAAAGCCATCCACTCTTTGGTTGTCGTTTTATGGTTTTGATGTCGTCAAGTTTCTTGACTGAGCGGAGAGGTTCAGGCGATGCTGGTGGGATCAGCTGTTCCGTGCTGGACGTGGAAGAAAGTCGTTTAGGTGGAGATGGCGGTTCTGCTGGTAACTGGGCCTGTTTGTGTAAAAAAACAGCATGATAATGTTTCAGTGAAACTTGAAACCTTGGGAAGCACTTGTAAATTAAATAACAGTATATTTTAAAATGATTTTTTATAATAGGAGACTCTTTACGATAGGAGACTCTTTACGACAGGAGACTTTTTGAAACAGAAAACTCAATCTGTACATTGATAAAATTTGCCTACATAAAGTACCTTGTACCAATTGCTCCCCATTAAAATTTCCATCCTCATAATCCTCCTCTTTTACTGTAGTTTTCGTTAAATATAAATCTAGTGTAAAGTTTTTTAAAATGGACAATTATATGCCCGGAGTATTATGACTTTACTCATGATCATAATACACAAGACAGATAATTGGAAAATATACAGAACAATCATGCTATTCGAAAATTCATCTAAACTCCATCGTAGGGTTGTATAATACTCTGAAGTAGTGGAATGACTTACGGGAACTGCAGACGTGGATGGTTGTGGAGAGCTGACTCTCGGCGTGGGTGAAACTGACTTGGGTGGCGTGGGAGGTTTGGCGTTAGGCGAGGCAGCTCGGACGGGTGGCGTGCTCGGCGTCACCTCCGTGGTAGGAACCGCGGGTGCCTTCAGATAGGCAATCATCATCATCATCATCAGCAGCCTATTAATGACCCTACTCCAGGGTCACAGGCCTTTCCTATGGATGGAATAGAGAGATCGGGCCATGACCCGCCACGCGGGCCCACTGCGGATTGATGGGTGTAAGCGACTACAAATGCAACCGGGACCAACGGCTTAACGTACCTTCCAAAGCACGGACAAACTCGAGATAGTAGTTTGGGTAAGTATATTAAATGCCTATCTATTAATATGTGCATTTTAGTAAATTAGATGTTGTCTTTCTTTAATCAGCTAAAAAATTGGGTGTTGTTACAAGTGTGTTGACGCATTTCAGTAAAAAGAGATACCTGGCAGAAGTGGCAGGTGTGAAGCAAAAAAAGTATTTATTGGCAAACAAATAAAATATAGTGGTTACCCCGGAGCATGTAAAGGATTTGAAAAGTCAGGAATTATGAAAAAGTTAATATATAGCGCTTAATAGAATCGTGTAATATCTTCTCCTACTGTGGGCAGGCTGAAAGAAATTTCAGACTGAAATGAGCCACCCCTCTTATGTATACATGTCTCATGTTTTTTTCGGTTGTAGTTCGTTTTATTTAACTACCTTTGTGTATACAAAATTATCAATTATTAATTATGTACTTTTCCATGTTCCCTGTCAATAAGGTAAAACCAAAAGTAATGTTCTAATACTCACCTTTGGCTTAACAGGCGGGGGAGGTGGAGGTATGGCCCCTTCTGGTGGTTTGATCTCAGGCACTACCGGCCTCGCCACGGCTATATCTTCAGCAGGTTTAGCTTCCTCCGCCGATGGTTCTGGCGCCTTTGTATGTAAAATATATAAATTAAACATCATTATCACAGCCCTTTTGCTGGAGCAACGGCCTTTTCTATGGAATAGAAAGATTACTTACTATATATTAAATACTTCACATACTACAGTGTTTGAAACACAGTCAAAGCTTCTTTGACAGAAGAACCTTAAGAAGTAAAAATATTCATAAAAAACTTATTATATCGAATACCAACCAATAAGCGCCCTTAGTCGCGACTTGGTTCTATAATTCTTAAGTCGTTTCGAAACCTTTTCCCAAACACTGAAGACATCAGAAGGTTCAAGATATAAACACTCATTGCATTCAATTTCGCCAATACAGGATACTAAATAAAAACAGATTCAATACAAAACAGCATGGAAAAACAGACAAAAGAGATTGATTCTCTCTCACGCATAGACAAACACCTGTAGTGTACATAGTGCTCCAAATATCAGCAAACATCTCACAATAAGGTTGACACAGGAGTAAGTCGTCGTCCGCCACCGCCGGCATGCATTTGATAGAGAGGTGATTGAAAGAATGAGCGCCGGAGTAATAATCTATTTAATATCTTTACGCCGAGTAGCGTGATAGTGAAAACAACACAGTGCCACGTGGAATGGTACGGTCCTTAAGCCTTTAAGCAAGTACTATCAAGAGAGCAAGGGCATATATCTGATTTACTGTTCGAATTGGAGCGCCCGTCTGGGGAAGTAATCTTCATCTTACAGGAAATCACAGTAAAATAACACTAACTTTTAGAGGTGTTGTGATTCTCAGTAATGTTCCAGTGCTCTGAGAGGTAGAGGATTGGGTGAATAGGCAACGGCGCAGGTGATATTTTTGGTATCGCAAAGGTCTATATGATATGGTGGCCGCTTACTTTGCCACCCTTTTATCATAAAAAAGCCCCTCCATTATCGTAAAAAATCCAAAAATATCACAAGGGAAGAAGGAAGATTGAAGTGAGATATCAAGCGCTAATTTATTGACTGAAAGCGTAATTTCTTAACCGAAAAGTAGTGCATATTTAGAATATTAAATCTGGATTAGAGAATAGTCTGAAGACTAATATATTGTATGTGGCAAAAAAATATACGTGATTTAGGGAAGTTAAAAAGGTGCTTATATCGTCACGTGATTAATCTACGACACTTAACGCTCTCATCTAGCAAATGAGATATAAAAAAGCATTGTTTTATGTTTAGATGGTGATAGCTTTTTAATTTACCTGTCCATCAGCAGATTGAGTCGGTGCGCCTGGTGGCTTTCGCTTAATCACTTTCGGTGGGGAAGTATCGCCCGGTGTTCGCTTCGCTTTCAATGGACTCGGCTCTAAATCAGAAATTACCTTAGTTACTACCTTAGTTTTTGATGAAATATTATGAATTGTAGTGACGTATTTATTATATCGTTTAATGAAATCATTAAAAGAAACGTGACTTCGAGGTTATGAATACTTAGGTAATTACAGTTTGGTAACGCTAACTTATTCAACTAAGCTAGTCGTGAAAGCTGACTTGACATATTTGACGTCAAATACTATTGGAATGTTAAAAACTGATGCAGCACTCAAGCGTAAAACCAAGAAATTAAATTAAATTAATATCAAAAACTAGGCTCTATCAACTGTAGTATTCTCTGTCTTGCTAATACGAAATAATAGGAAAATTATAACAATATCGAAAGATTTTCATTAACACAACGATAATTTCGAAACGCATTTCATTTTTTTTAAATTTTAAATTGACAAAACAAAATAAATATTGACTAACATTTTCTTTTATGTTACCAATACCCATTTGTGTAGGTTCATCCGGACCAGGACTCAAGGCCCTTGGTGTGGGACTCACAGCAGACCCTGATATGTCGCTCTATGAGAGCGCTGGCTAAAATTTAAAACAATTGTTTACCCACAATTATGTACTGTAACCGACATGACAGTTTAAATTACCTGGTTGTGTAGTTTCATCCGGGTTTACGGCCCTCGGTCTGGGGTTCGGAGCAGACCCTGATATAGGGCTCTGTGCAAGTGCTGGCTAGTAAAGCAAGTTTAGTATTTTCCGACAATTCTGTGTTGTTACTGGTGGTTCGTATTACCCGGTTGTATAGGTTCATCTGTGCCGGAGCTGACGGCCCTCGGAGCAGACCCCCATTGCGCAGGGGCTCTGCGCAAGTGCCGACTTAACAGCAAAACAAGTGTTTACCGACAATTTTGTATTGTAATAATAATTACCTGTTTGAATAACCCGGTTGTGTAGGTTCATCTGGGCCTGGGCTTGTTGCTCTTGGTGTGGGGCTCTGGTATAGGGCTTGGAGCAGACCCTGATATAGGGCTTTGGGCCAGCGCAGGCATCGGGCTCTGCATAGGGCTCCGTACTGGACTCAAGGCACGAGCGCTTGGCATTGGGTCGCGGCCTTCGATAATTTCGTATTGTAACCGAAGCGACAGTTTAAATTACCCTGTTGTGTAGGTTCATCCGGGTCCGGTGTGATGGCTCTCGGCGTGGGGCTTGGAGCAGACCCTGATATAGGGCTCTGGGCCGGCGCTAGCACCGGGCTCTGCACTGGGCTCTGTATTGGACTCATCGCACGAGGGCTTGGCACTGGTGTCGCGGCTTTCGATACGGCAGCCTAATATAGAATACACAGGTCAATGTTAGACAAACTGACAATAGGACCGATTCCGGCATGCTTTTTTAAACTTAAGCTAAATTTAATATAAGTCTTTCCTCTTCATTCTGTATATAGAGAATGACAAGGATACACTGCTGTCAAATAAAATTTTAGGTTCAAAGAATTATGCCAGAATCGACACCAATGAAACCGATTATGGCATGCTTCTCTTAACCTAAAATTAAATTTGAAAACAGTGTATCCTTGTCATGCTCTATAAAGGATGAAAAGGATATACTGTTGTTAAATTAGGTTTTAAGTTTCGAGAAGCATTCCAGAATGAGTCGCAATGAGTGTATCGACATTGTGTTGGACAATTAATATGTATAGGAACTATGCTACGATCAGTATAGTAAAGTCTCTTGCGCCCTTTATCTTCGGGTATGCCTGTGAAAAAATGTTTTTTCTTTTAAATAGCGTCGTTTTATGCGTAAATTCAGTTTTATATTTATTTAGGCCTATTATAATTTGTTCTTGATTTGTCACAGGAAGAAGAGGAAGAAGCATAGTGAACTCCGCCAATCTGTCTGTTTGTTTTTTTTTTTTGTTTCTACAAGCCTACAACCATAACTATTTTTAAGTTAAGGCGCCTTAGGTCCCAAGTCCCAACAAAATTTCTCATTGTGGGGCCAACGAAAATAAATCAATAAATAAAGTAATATAATTAAATAAGTTTTAAAGTAAAAAAAATATATAAAAACTTCATTTCTTAGTTTTTATGTTTATATTGATGAATTCACTACTTCAATTAATTATCGGGTCAGAAGTAAGTGTTTAGGATATTTATTTTAAAGTAGGGTATCTTTGATTTTTTTCTATCGAGTAAAGTAATTCCAATTGAGTATTCATTAAGTATAAATTTACTATATAAAAGGTTCAACAATATCATATATATTTTAGAATCAGTAACAAAAGAACTTTTATAAAAAAAACTAAAAATTTTAGATCTCTTCATACATATTTCGCGAACCGTTAACGACTTTACTTACCTTAGGTGTGGGGCTGGATGGAAGCAGCTTCGGGGAAGCAGCTCTACTCTGGGTGGCAGCTGCTGTCAGAAGGGAACCCATTCCAACACCGCCACCACCTAAATCACCACCTAAATTACACCCCACAAATATCTTCATCATCAACCTGCTATGCTATTCTGTAAGAACAGACTCACCTCGGAACGCGATATGATTTAAAATTAGGACACTAATTTCATATAAATTTGAAATCACACCGGCCGGCGAATTACGCGGTGAAAAGCGTGTTTGTACTTACAAAATAGCACTGCTGTTAACATTCACCACCTACATCACATCATCATTATAAGTCTATTAATGTAGCGAATAATTTTATTTTTTTAAGCATGTAACTGCATGATGTTTAAATCTAAAGAAAATATAACTAGAAAAAATTCCATGCGGACCAGGCAGCAGACGGGTTCGAACCCGCACCCTTCGCAATCCGGGCGTATGCACTGACCAATTATGCTACCGCGGCCCTGACGGCCGCGTCGAAATTCCTCTAGCCATTCTTAAGCTGCAAGGCAGCGCCATTTCTTCGCATTGTAGGTAACCCACAATGTCAAATGAATACTTTTACAAGTATTAAACATTTGAAAGAAGGCCGTGGTAGTATAATTGGTCAGTGCATTCGCCCGGATTGCGAAGGGTGCTGGTTCGAGTCCCGTCTGCTGTCTGGTCCGCATGGAATTTTTTCTAGTTATATTTTCTTTAGATTTAATGTAGTGATTGCTTGAATTAAGCTCTTATTATTTATCCAATAATCAGTGATATACAAATTTTTATTTTTACTATACTTATTGCTTGAATTAAGCTCTTATTATTTATCCAATAATCAGTGATATACAAATTTTTATTTTTACTATACTTTTTACTAGTAAATAATCCCTAACTAAACGGTTACAGATGCCGGTGCACTCCATGGCCTAGCTAGAGCAAGATTGCGACCCAGATGCTTGATGTGGATGTAAGTTGATTACATTTTTTACAACTTTACGAGGCATAGCATTGCAGCTGCATGGACACACACACACGTGCAAACATACCTACACACACATACACACACACTTCATAAAGTTATCAGGTGACAATTTCCTGTAAACCCTTCTGTATGGGTATAAAGTATTTTTTTATACTATTTTTAAAATGAAATGTTATATCGATTTAAAGTAACGCCGTTAGTATCTAATGTCTGCAAAATAAGTTTCTGTAATTGACCTTAAGATTATGTTTATATTTTATTGTGTTAAGATAAATAAATAAATAAAAGTATACAATATATCTACAACAACACGCTTGAATGGGTTTAAAATCAGTGTTTTTATTACTTTTTTGACGTTTCGCTTCCTTTTCAAGATCCTTTTCAGAAATATGTTTTTTGAAGTGAAACTTGGGGGGGGGGGTAAGCTGATGAATGCGTTACGCGTTACGAAAAGTGTGTTCAGCAAGGCGAACGGGAGTTGAGCGAGGGATATAAACAAGAGAAAGCAGTGCGCCAGCACATTTTCTTTCTCTCTTTCTCTTATAGCTCGTAAATGAAATATGTATAAGTACATATATGTATTTATTGTACACACACATATATACATACAGATGGAGCTAAAGAAGTCGTGTGGTCATAAGAACACTCGTTTTTATTTACTTTGGCGAGCTACCTCTTAATGCGAGTGTACGTGAGAACTTAAGAAAATAATATATATAAAACAGTTTTAGTTCAATGTAGTGTTCCTTATTATTTAATTAGTCGAACATTATATCTTTAGATCATATAATCTACAAATATATATGATTTTTATAAAGGCAAGCTTGTCAATTCCGTATAATAAATCCAATGATACACATAAAAAATACGACAAGTAAACATGTATTAAACATTTTAAGTAAAATCGTTTTGCATATGCCATACATATTTTGAAATTTAATTAATACACCTCCCGAATTTCAAAAATGTAATCTGCCTACATTGGCTTATAAAGAGAACGCGTTCGGAACGAAGACGAAAACGCAAATAATAGCCTTTGCAAATCAATAAATATTAATCAGAGCATTTTACAAATTCAAATATTTATATCAATCAGGCAAACCGGTTTTTTCATTATTTCAATAGAGCAGGTTTTCTTATTTTATAATACCGTATACCGTGTATAATACCGTTCCTTATTCCTGTAAGAGACGCTTAATAGAAGTCAGTATTCTTGTACCTATGTTTTTTAATCATTCATTAATGAGTTTGAGATTTTTTTCTTATTAATATTAACATGAACTTACAGTTACCTAGCAGTATCGTCAAGTGAATGAATATTTTTGTGTATTATGTATACCACAATGTATACCTATGAGATCTTGTCGACTTTCATTGCCAGTAATTTTTGGGTTAAATGAACAAAAATAAAACCCTAACAGGATCACCTTGTAGTCCGCCTGCCTGTCAAAACCCTTTATCTCGGGAACGATTTTAAACCATAAACTCAAATTTATGGTCCCTTGAAGCTGTGAAAAAATCAAACTTCCGAGTCAACGAAAAAGTTAGGGCCATTTGGCAGTTTGTCTGTCAAGACCCTTTATCTCGGTAACGCGTGGAGGTATCGAGTTACAATTTAAACCATATACTTAACCATAACATATGGTCCATTGACGCAGTGAAAAATCTACGTTCTAAGTTAACGTAAAATCAAGATACGGCCTTTTATATTGTATACCAAAAAATTAATGCGGAACCCTCGGTGGGCAAACATTGTCCATTGCCTTTGCTTCGCTTTTTTTTAGGCTGTGTATGCTGTTGGTCGCAGATGCCCTTACAGCGTCACCGGGTTTGGGGACGGTGAGATCCTAAGGGACCTCAAGCCGAGAATTGGCGATTACCTCTAGAGGTATTCCAGGCGGATGGCAGCTCCCCACAGGGGAAGTCTGCTCTCCATTTGGAGCCTCTGACCACTCGAACCTGAGGGGGTTTTTATTCGAACTTGTTCTATTTCTATTAATAAAACGCAGCGATCGTTAACAGAACAGTAAACGTAGATTAATCATAGAAGAACACGTCCGTTTCCATTTTTTTCATACAAGTACTAAGTAAGTACATAATTTTTATCTGACTCACTTTTTCGTTTTCTTTCTTCAGCTTAAGTATCAGAAACCCTTTCAATAAACCCACAGCTAAAATTATACAATAAATATTGGTTAGCGATTTCTAAAGCATAATATATGAAATAGAATACTCGCTGGAACCTTTTGTTACAGATTCCATTTATTCATAGACTAGGAGCTAGTGTAGATCAAATTTTATAGTTATCGATAAATCAAATACAAGTGTCGCAATGACTTCAATTTCAGCTGTTATTTTTTAAATGTCATTCTTGGAACGAAAATGTTGTTAGAACTCGATCAAACTGTATTTTTTTAAATATGGTCAAATATTCTTTATAGTAGAAGAATCAATAGCTTTGAAATAATACACTATTTTAATTGCATGAAATAGTAACTTTGGAAAAACTCTTGTTTTACTACAAAAAAGTTAGACACGGTTTATAACCAAATTTTGTATGTCAATTTTTCTTTAACGCTCGTGTTACTTTTTGTGACACAAGGTTGTATGTTGAGAAATGTTTATACATGTTTTTGTGCTATCTATCTTACCTGATGGTTTGAACGGTGATTTGGTCAAAGGCGACGCAGGCTCTCCCACTTCAGTGGAGATATCTTTGATGAGTTCCAACAATGTGTCGCCGGGAGTCAATGGCAGGTCAATCGGAGAAGCGCCTCGTGAGCCTATTTTAAATAAGAACAACATTTCAACAAATGTTATTTTGATGTGCTAAATAAATTATTTTTATATGTACACACTACAGGAAATTAAAATAGCCTTCAACTTTTACGGCCAATTTTACTTTGTTTCTTCTCCTCTTCTTTTTTGTTGATGTTAACTTCTTCTTATTTAAAAAAATATGTTAACCAAATAAATAGTTAGTATAGCAAATAATAAAATCTTAAATATTGAGTCACTCCATACCAAAAACACATAAATAATAATCCGCAAATATATTCATTGGTGTTAAATTTATTCCAAAATTATAAATAAAAACAAATTACCAGGCAATGGTGATTTCAATACAAGCTTTCTTGCTTCGTCCATAGCGCGCTGTAGATTTTTTTGATTTTTGAATGACTCGCGAGTTCGACAGCGCCCAATCTGGCTCCTATATAAGTTCAAAACGTGTGATATTGGTTATTTGTTTTAGTTAAAAGCTTAACAATCAAGGTCAAGGTAAAGTCTAGAAAAATTAAAGACTATCCTATTCGAAATCATTTTTCCATAGATTTCCAGAATGCAAAAGTTTTCATGAATAAATCTCAAATTTAATCTAAAAAAAACATTTTAATAAAGGCTACAATTAGTATACTAATAAACCTTTCTGGTTTCTTTTACACTAATAATGATAAACTGTTACTTACTTTATTTTAATAATAAATAAAAAATACAAACAAATATTTCAGGTCTTAACTGCCTATACTACTCAACGTACTCCATTTTTATAATATGTACATAAAAAGCGTTAGCACATTGGCTATTGGACTACTAAAAGCAGATAGCAAAATATAAAAAAAATATTTATTACATGCAAATGATGAAGCAATTTAATTAAACGTGTTGTATGCATAAATGTTGTACCTAACCCATTTACAAGGCGTATCTTTCTTTATAAAGCACTGGAAATTATTGGAATACGTCACAAATTCTACGCGTATAAATAATAAGAAGACTATTGTTTATTTCAACATTGTGTATCCGTAGTTCAAAAGTAGCTCGTTGTTTAAACATAGCGGGTTTTTTAAACAAGGCACAAAACCTTTCCCCACTTGATGTTAAATGTGAATTCACTTGTGAAGATACTTAGTTGATGAGGCAGAAAAATGTGCCGCTCCAGCTATCCCCGCATTGTCAGCCTAAAACCAATATCCTACCCAGTAGCCTTGAAATAGATACTCGTAAATAGAGGCTTGGAATCGTACTTCACCAACAGAAACACAACACCACCAAAAGTAATTGCTATTATTGTCGTGATCTTCTGTAAGGAAGATGTTTCTTTCGAAAGCGTATTCTCCGATTCGAGTAGAATAAGGTTAGTCCCCCAAGCGGCCCCTCCAATTCGAGTAAATAAATGATATGCTATACTTCTCCTAAAATTAATTGGCGCGCCCAGAAAATTTTATGTGCACGAAAAACGATTTTAGTTGCCAGCCACTATTGAGAGTTTGCAAATTGGGCCAACATAACGACCATGCACGTTGGCCTAATGCGTACAGAGCTGAAAAAACACTCAAAATAAAATCTGTTTAAGTAAATGCAGTACTTACGAAATTCCAGTTTGGGCTAACGTCTGATCCCATTTGGCGTTACTGGTGCTAGCCACCGCCATCTTGGCGATCCTTCTGAACTTGGACAGTCCATCCTCGTCAGCCGGCTTCTCTTCGTCCACGCCTGCCACCGGTGCCACCTGGAAGTCCTTCATCAGGCGTCGCTCCCACACCTTCATACGCTTGCCGAGGACAGCTGTTAGAAATGTTATCATTATGAGCAGAATCAGCAGCTTTCTAGTGTTCACACAGTAGCGGCACAGGTCTACTCCATGAGCAGAGTCACATAGCATTAACCCAGTTTAGTTTGGTGGGTATTAGTAACTGCAAATACGTCCGGGACCAATTGTTAAACCTACTTTCCAAGTCACGGAGAAACTCAATTTAATAATAAAATATTGATCATCTATCGCATGATTGGCATGGTGAAAGTTGTTTAATTACACAGACATAGAACGAACACATACATACATAGGGATCTAGTATTTCATCAAATTATTATTTTATGACTTTGCATGCCAAAAAGCAGAATATGGGTATACTGGCGAGTAGGTACTGACAATTAACTAATACCTTGATCTAGTTCCCATTTATAAGATGAAAGGGAACGCAGAAGAAGACAAACTAAGAATGCTCAAATTAAATCAAAGATTCTCTCATCCTCTACTCAGATACTTACTCTTCTCCGTCCTATCGGTGAACGACACGTCCATGCCATTCTTCTCGAAGACCTCGAGCAGCTCGTACCGCAGCGCGGACACGTCTCCCTTCAGCTCGTTGATGTCGTCTTCTGTCACCGGCTCATCGTCCATCTTCCTGTGCATGGCTGATACATATCGCCATACCAACGCTCGCATCACCGCTAAGTAGCGTACGTCATGTTCTTTCTCCTTTTGCTCCTTTATGTTAAAAAAACCTTCATCACATTTTATTTTAAACATGAATCTGCTCGATTCATAAAACTAAAGAAAAATTTCCAACCAGGTCAAGACAAAAAAAATACTTTTAAAAATGACGCGCTACCTCAAATTTCTGTAATGTGAGCGAAGTTTATCCTACTAATATAATGAATCCGAAAATTTGTATGTTTGACTGTGTGTCTCTGTACGTTTGTTACTCAATCACGCAAAGACTACTGAACGGATTTGGATGAAATTTAGTACGCATATAGTTTATAAACTGGATTGAAACATATGATACTTTTATTCCGACAAAATGTTAGGTTCCTGAAGGATTCTCAAAAAACTTAAGATAACCGCTAACCTAAAGGCGACCGCTTGTACACTTCATAATCACAATCTAATAAGCTATGCTGATCTCAGAAAGTAAATACGTATTTAGTTAAAGTATTGCGTATACCTCACATAGTGCCACAATCAATAATCTAAATACCGCGTAAGGCAAGGTGTGCCTAATAGTCTAAAATATATGATCTGCTAATATTACGAGTGTTTTGATACAGTGCTGTCACTACGCCGTAGGGGGTATTTCTGTGAAGTATTTTAATGGAATAAATTGCGATACGATATTGCTTAAAATTTAATTAAGACAATATTATAATATTTTGGCTTGTTTGTGTTTTCACAGCGTAATCTCAACTGCTCTGCGTTGGAGCTCAATGGCGCAAGTGGTTAGCGCGTTCGGCTGCGAATGTTGAAGTTAAGCAACTTTTGCAGTGGTCGGTCATAGGATGGGTTACCAAAAATTTATTATCACGAGCTCCTCCGTGCTTCGGAAGGCACGTTAATGCGTTGGTCCCGGCTGCATCTGCAGTCGTTAGCACCCAGCAATCCCACTGCGCTCGCGTGGTGGGTCATGGCCCAATCTCCCTATTTCATCCATAGCGAAGGCCTATGCCCCGGCAGTAGGAACATTAACAGGCCGATGATGATGATTATAATACTATAGCTTGTTAATGTTTTCACAGCGTAATCTCAATTGCTATTCTTTTTTGTTCTACTCCATTAAAAATTGTCTTACGATGTTTCCAGTGAAAGGTAACCTATCCAGTACGAAGGAAACAAGTATTAGGGTATATGACAGTGTGAAAAATAAAGTGCCAATAGTTAGCATCTGTGTTTGAAATGAACATGGGCAGGGATTTTTACAAAAAAAGAATATTCATCATTTTACTAAAAACTCACGAAAAAGGTAATAGTTTTCTTATCTATTGTCACGTGACCCAAAACGCTTGGGATTGGCGGAGCCTAAAATTACATCACACGCAAGTAATTTTCCTGTTAAAGTCACATTACGTTGTATCTTTTGACGTTTTAATAACAGTCGTGTGACGTCACACACTAGTAAGACACCATATTGTCCAGATAAAAGTTTTCGCGGCAACTTGAAAATGGAGTTTTTGACATGGTTATTTTTACTAAAATAACCATGTCAAAAACTCCATTTTCAAGTTGCCGCAGAACAGAATTATGAATATCCACTTTTTACGGACTCCATAAACATTATTCAATAACGTGAGATCGTTTTCTAAAACTTGTCAAATACCCTATTTAAACCAACATTACCATGAACAACAAACCGATTTAAGAGTAAGTCGTAAATATTTATTGAAACGCGTAAATTTTTCTATGTACTCTACTCACTTTTCCCAAATGAAGAATACAGGTGCAAGGCCTTAAAAATTCAAATTGGCTTGACACTACTAAATAAGCATTCACTAAAATATATAGAGAATCTACCTTATTTTTCATCTTTCTGAGTTTGTCCTTTTTCCTTAATCCCATCATTCTGAGCAGTAGCTTTGGCGTCGGCATTATGTTGAACGGTGGTGGTAGTGTTGCACCCTCTTCGAAATAACTCATCCAAAGCCTTGTTCGAGCAAATTTCCATTCGACGTCCGAGTGTTCCTGAGAAACATCGAATACAATTAGTCTGTAACAAAGACATTAATATACTATTTCATTGGTCATCAAACACTCTATAGTTTTATGCCATATAGATACATATTATGATACTGTAAGAATATATAACGCAATGTGTCTGTTTTCCCGGACAAACATAATCTGGACATCTTCAAGGCCAGAGTGAACAGGCATCTTCTAGGCAGGCGTGTACCATCCTTTTTTTTTTTTTTTTTTTATTACGCAGGTAAAAAATCTTTTTACAGACGACGACGCCCCTAAGGGGCACACCGCCGAACGGACCTCACACCTGGCTCCCGCAAGTCTTACGAACCCCCATAGTGGATGCCCACCTGGGACCCCGCAACTCTTACGGGCGCTTTACGGTATAATATCCGCTAAAAAAGTCCTGCGAATACCTTCACTACTGCCTGATGCGGTGCCGCGGGATCCCCGCTAATGGGGATATCTCCGCGTCCCCGCACCTGCAGTTTCCCGGCCTCGCCGGGGATCCACGGCAGGGGTCTCCCGCGGTATTTCGGGGACCCCGCAGACGTGCGCGGGTAGGCCCGCGCGTGGGGGCTAGGTATGCGGCCTACTGCCCACCATACCGCCCTCCGTCCACTGCGGAAAGCTATAGCCCTCCGCCAAGGCGTGTACCATCCTAGGCTTCATCATCGCTTTCCATCAAATGAGATTGTGGTCAAACGCAATGCCTATTTTGCATAAAAAAATATATAAAGTAGGTATCTATCAAATCAGGAGACGGAAACCTGCTGGGATCGCTGGGAAGATAGGAAAAGATTAAAAAATGAAATGAAAACGAAAAATTTGTTTGTTGCTTACAAGTTCCTTATGAACATGTTGTTATCCGCTTTAAGTATTCTACTTGTGTTATGGGATACACGCTCTTTCGTGAGTCTTAGGCTCAACTCACACTGGCGCAGAGTCAAAGCGACGCGCCGCGACTCTTTTCGCCTGTAGGAAATTCATCTCTATTTTTCAACTATTATTAAGGTTCCACTTAAAAGACGCGCAAGTTCTCAATACGAAATTTCATGTTATTTGTCTGTAGCAAATTTCTCTATTTTTCCACTGTTGAGGTATTCCCAAGGCAAAAACATGACGCGACGCGACGCTTCGACTCTGCGCCAGTGCGAGTTGAGCCTTATCGAACTTGTATGTACAGACAGTCACAAGCCAAGCTACCCAAAACCCTCCGGTTACTCTAGGATATTTTAGGTATATCGAAAATATTCTTTTTATAAAAAATTAAGATGGTTAGAGTAAATTTATCGAAAATATTCATTGTATTTAATATTTATTCAATTATTTATTTTTACCAACTTTTATGAGTGGATTACAACTTACACTGTCCTTATTGTAGTTAAACTTATTAAGTAAACTTCAATAAATCCGAAAAACAGTTAAACATTAATAAATTATTAAATCCCAAAGCTAAGCTGACGAGACACTGCTTAAAACTTGGTGAAACACCCGATTCATCTTAAAACAACAAGGTTCACTATGTCATTTCAATGTGATATTATTTTTAGAAATAAACTTGATTCGTAGACTGATAAACTAATGGGTCTACCCAAACCCATTTAGAACCAGACAAAGGAAAATTATTATCAGTTTTTTTTTATATATACAAAGGGGCATTGTGTCGAATTACTTGAAAACACTCCAGCCCTCCGTACCAATCACAGAATCAGTTGATGGATTAGTATTAGGGAGCTTCTAAAAATGTCGATATGATTTGTCCCTCACACCCTGGTGACAGATTTTATGGTAACGTAACGCCTTTCAAGGGAGCTCTTAAAACGAGTTATGTTGAACAAAAAATTACAGTCTACATTTCCAATTAGGTACCTTGTACTATCGCTATCGCTTACGATTTCATTTAACTTCTGGCCGCCGAAGGTTTTCAAATACCTCACGCCCATTTTCTTTAAAATTGTTATCACACTAATATTATAAAGACGAAAGTTTGTGAGTGTGTATGTAAAAATACTTCTTCACGTCTAAACGGCTGGAGAGGTTTTAATAAAATTTGGTGGGAGTTAGCTGACACCCTGGATTAACACATAGGTTACGTTTAACTACGGGAAAATTTATAAGCCTCAATTGACATGGTCGTGAATTTTATTAAGACTTTCATTTATTTTAGCAATAACATGTTAATACTTATTACTTTTATATGTTTAAGCATTTTATTTCCTGCTAGAGTTACGAAACTGAATAAATTCGTGTGTACTCATGCAAAAAACATATATTACGCCATCAAAAAGAAAAAAAACATAATAAGGACTGTTTTTCTCAGCCTTACTAATCAAATCAGACAACTGAAAAAAAATTGCGAGTAATATGAGTGATGAAACATTCACTCATATTACCTTCTCATTTAATTTTTTTCAGTTATATTTATTAATAAAGAAAAATTTTTCCAATTAAATTTAATCCAATTGTATTTGCAGCAACGGATATTGTGCTTTTCAATAGAACTACGCGATCGGTCCCTAGCAAACAAAGAGTGATTTCCTTTACCTGACATGATTCTATTACGCACTATAGAATGGCCACACCGGATTACTGATGATACTTTACTCAATATAGAGGCAATGCAGAGTTTCGCTAATATCAGATTTATGAAATTAAACTCGAGAATCTTTATCAAAATTTAAATTGAATTGAATTGTAGGACATGTCTTAATCATAGAAAGACATTTGAAGGAATCCTACTTCTGGGACAAAAAAACTGTTCTTTGGTGATGTTTAACTATTTATAAGTTATTTCAAAAGCTGAAAAAATCTATTTAGTACGTTATTGTGACTATTTACCAAAAACATAACAAATTCAACCATACCTTATCTGCTAATTTGTAAAAAAAAATCAAAACAGAAGCGTGGTCATACTCCGTGAACTGTTCTAAACACATTTTTCGTCAGAAAAGCTGGGAAAAAAGTTATATTACACACTTGAATTAAAACGAACTCATAGTATCTGTTTTCACACATCCCAATAAACATTAGAACATAGTAGTTTATTTTTTCTTATTAATATATTAAAATTTATAGCCATTATACAGGTGTTATAAAAATTTAAATCAATACCGTGAACTACTATTTTCACCCAACAAAAAAATTTTGAGAATTGAATTACTGCTCTTATTATCTGGTTACACTGCTTTTTGCTGTTAGTTCAGTTGTGTGTGCTAACCAACAAGGAGATTATGTACTGTGAAGTTTTGTTAAAAAAATATATGTAATATACGTTTCTGGTAAAGTTTGGCCCGTCAATTCGGTTAGGGATTTTTTTGGTATGTAGTAACGTATTTACTTTGCCACCATACCTCATAATTAATGCCATGGGGACTTATTTTGGTTGTAGTTATAAATTAATATGTAACTTTTAAAACCACGACGCAGCATGATTTTAGAAATGATTCGTCAATCCCGTGATCGTCATTACTGTGTACTTGTTGTTCACAGAACTTGTATTCTTTCGGTGTTTAATACAAACACTTTTGTATGGCATTAATCAGAGTCTGGTCATGGAAAAGGACCCCAGACGGTGTAGGTGGCTACTTAAAAAGACATAATGATCGACGAGTGGTTTTGGGGAATGACATTCCAGACCATCAAACTTTGATATTATTTTTTGAAAAAAATGGAAAATCACTTTTGGAAAAAAATGACCTCTTGGTTAGGTTAATGCCAATAAATGATGTATTATTAGGCTAACAGAAAACATATTCTTTTTCAGAATAACTTTACAAAATCTATCAAGGCAATATGTAAGTTCATCAAATTGCTTGGGCAAAAGAAAACCCAGATTATCTTCAAGCCAGGCGACTGAGTTGTTTGGACTGTCATTCAGACATCACTTGTCGTCATTTTAGGCTGGAAAAAATATAATCACGAATACAATTATTACATGCAACACAGAAAATGAGCCCCCTATACCATTATGCTCTAAATTACGTGTCGATGAAATTTATTCTGATAGGTAAAACAAAATTAGGCCTCCGAGACAAGACAGGGTAAATTTTTTGGCTGTTGAATATACCCAGAACATTATAATAAGAGACTTTGCACATTTTTATCATATGATGACTTCAGTGATTCTTATAATTTAGTATCACAGAAATGACGTTCCTACTAAATATCATTTCCGTGGACATAAATGTTTGATTTTTTTTATTGTCTTTTCAAATTATTGATCAAAATAATGTTTCATAATATATGTTATCTTGGTTTAATGGTTTTCGGTAGAACATTTATTTTTATCATAACTGTATTAATTCTTAAGTAATGATCACTTAGATCATTTCAGTGAAAACGTGCGTCAATTCTGTGAGACTTAAAAAATGATTTTTCATGTTTTTACGTATTAAACGTAATGAAAATTCTGTTTTCTATTGTGATTATGATATTTGATTATATTTTGCAAAAAATAAATGTTTGAAACCCAAAAAATCCTCGCATTAATTTTTGTGATTTAAAAAGCCCATTTCGTATAATGACCCTTCTACGATAAAGTAAGCTATCTATTTAATAAGTGTGTTTTATTACTAATGTCAAATTCATTTATTATATATATATTGTAAATTGTAAATTGTGGATATTTTTGTCTCATTTTAATTCTAGTAATAATACAGTTTGTTTTAATTTTATACATTGACAGGAACACTGTTTCCTATTATACGGGAATGGGCGTTAATTCTGCAACACAGTTTTTGTAAAACTAAAGCAGATTTAACGATTCATAATTTTATGTACATTGCACTTGTTCCAAAATAAAGTTGTTATTATTATTATTTTCATGAGTGCATGATACACTGGGCCCCTTTTACATCCATCCAATCCAGGTAAATAACCCTTATATCCAGGATTTGCTAATTTGAAGATGTTTCGGGCAATAGCATACCTGAGTTTTATCTATGCTTCACTACAATTTTATTATAAAAACCATTTTCATATACAAAATTCGCGAAACAAAGTATTTATGTCAACATAAACAAATATTATATTGAAATGAACGCCATTTGTATGCGTAAATCACAATTACGCATGTGAACGTATCGTGCCAGAAGCTCTAACTGAATTACCGCAACAAAATTGAATTGTAGTCTCGCGATTCCCGCTTTATACAACAACATTCCTACTGGTTATATCATAGGGCTTTATTAGATAATAATTGTAATGCGTTTAAAAAAAATGCCTTTGTAATTTTTGGTAAGATGGTTTTTATGTGAAAACGTAGAAACGAGCATTCCGCTTACTTAATGGTAAGCGGCAACCATAACCCACAGACATTCCATAATCCACTCAATTAAATTATATGGCTATCAAATTTACTCATAATATGGACACATCAATATGTATTACAGAGTTGTGTAGTTTTGATTCAGTATTATATGAGATAGAATAATCCCCATGTCATCATAAGGTCGAATCTAGTGCGCCGTGAATATTGAGTACCGGAGTAACTTCAAAATCGTATAAATTAAAATTGTAAGAACAGTACTTTAAACAGTAAACGCAACGCACTACATCTCCATACAAAATATTGATTTATAACGTTTACAAAATATACTAAATTAAGCTTTCATAATTACACAATTATTGAATTAACGTGGAGACACTTTAGATTTTTTTTTTGTGGAAATATATCCAAAATCAATGTCTGAATTCACTCATAGAATTTCTCAGGTATCCCAAAATTCATAGTGTATAACTCTCTGCGGGCCCTATTTTGTAAAATAATTACTTGATCGGAATCAAATAATAATTTATTACTTACTTTAAAACATAAATATATTTTAGATGTAGATTGCGTTTTACTTAAAGGTAGAGTTGTAAAGTAACAAGAATGGCAACAATAGTGAGAAAATCCTAACTATTATAACTTTAAAAACAGATTTTTGATGACCATTTGATAGAGACGCCAACGAAATAAACCTAGCTGGACTTAATTCCTAATTAAAAACTTCAGATAGGTTCTATATAAAAGCGTTTAAAAATTATTCAAAATTATAGAATATGTGTAAAGCATTTAAATAAGATACATAACTTATGAATGATCTATATACAATAAGTGAATGTAAATAAATAAAATACTTACGTCAATCATAGCATAGGAGTTGGACATCATAGCGATGAGGAGATTAAGCAACACGATAACGTTGATGACCGAGTAAGAGCCGAACATAAGAAGGCCCCAGAACCGGGTGTAGCTCTTGATGCCGGCCAACTCGAAGTTTTCCAGGCCAACCATGCCGAAGGACGCCCAAAACAACGATTGAGACGCTTCGAACACACTGTAGTAAGCCAACACAAGGTAATTTATGTAAATTTAATATTTCAGTCGCTTTGAGCTTTTTACCTTTTCGTCATCACATAGCGCTAAACTCGCCTTATTGAAAAATCGTACATTTTACTCTTAATTTAAGAAAGTGGATCAACAAAAATCTCTATGAAGATCGATTTACACCACACAGCTCATATAGCGTAGTCCCGGTATCTTATTTTTAGAAATTCCGCCTTTTTGTACTGAGCCTGATTGCTAGAAGGCCCTTCAGTCGTTTCAAAAAGATGATTTTAACACTCTGCTCCTAAGCAGACTATTTAAAATTCATTTAGTATAGTGCTGTAGTACTAACACCAAAATACTAATTAGGCCAACAATTTATTAAACCAAAAAAATATAGATTATAACACTTTTATTAAAAGCCAGATATTGATTCACGATAACAACTAATAACAACACATTCATCTCTAATATATAGTAAAAGATTAGTCAACAATTCTAATATAACAAATTTACTAAAATTCGTGTAAAAATAATAAAAACGATCTAATGACTAGCAACAAAATTTGGAAGCATACACAATTTTCTTTGACAAAAGTCTAGACGCAAAATGAGCTCTAAAATGTCTACATAAGGCAAATACTAATAAGTAATTAGTAAACATGATAATCCATCGTCTCCCTTAAGGTCATACAATCCACTTCATCAATTTTCAAAGTATTCATTTTCACATTAATATCCTCCTCCAACTGAATTTGTGTCTGCAACAAATAACGCAGTGAAGCCGTTGCCTCATGCAACATTTGCTGAAGTTGTTCAGTACTGTATCTGAGCATCTCGCATTCAAAGTACAACGATTGACCAGGAGGGTCTTTCACTAACTCAGCTCCAGTTCTATTCGCTCGTCTTCCCAGTCGCGTATGAGCTAGCGCTATATGCCCTTCTTTCTCAGACAAAGCTTTCTGCAGCAGCAAAATGTTATCTTGCATTTCAGCTATCTTCTGTGCTGTTTCGCGGTGCATATCTTCTAATTTTGCTTTAGCGAGTTTAGTCTCCTTGATGCGCTCACTGAATTCATGATTGCACTTTTTATAAGCCACCCACAGATCATCAATTACCTGTTTCAAAAGCGTATCTACAAACATTTTGATCGGTCTCGCACTGGTCACTTCTCTGGCCGCCATTTGTATATTCTTGGCTGAATACGAGTTATATTCTTCAGCAGATATATTAGCTGGATCTATACTTGAGTATCCTTCATAAACTGATAGACAAAGATCCGTAGGTTTCAGTGATAAATTGCCCTTGTCGACATCTATAGCCGCCTGTTTGTATTGCAAGTCTCGATCAAGGAGGTACCGAGTGGCGCGTAAACGTCTCATTTGCTCATTCAACTGCTCCAACACACGTTTCAAGAGACTTTGGCCTCCAAGTAAAGTAGTGATCTCTTGTTGTAACGCGTGTTCAACCTCGTCCACAACTAAGTCTATTCCTAGTCGTCCATCTCTAAGCATTAGGCATTTTCTGCAGATGTTTATAGCGTTCGCTTGCAAAGAGTTAAGGCAGTCCTGGAGACGTGTTTTGTAAACGCTCAAAGCTTCGAGTTCAATGCAAATTTCGCGTCGTTGTATCATCAACTCGTTTCTGTTGAACTCAACATCGCCTATTCTTTCTTCTAGGCGTCTGTCAGTGGTGGATTTCATAATGTTGGCCCTTTCTGCGGTCTCTGTACGCACTCTCTCGCATTCTCCTAGGATCCGGTCGGCGAGTTGCTGTTGATCCTCGGTGTTCCTGCATCGCTGGTCGTTACTGAGCTTCCATTCTGAGAGCGTGAACTTGGCAGCCCTCGGCGGCATGCACACTAACGCTTGCTCAGCTAATCTTGTGGTTGCGATCGGAGCACCGATAACATGGCGCACCCCGAACTGTGCTTCCCCCATTTTAATAGATAATCATCAAAATAATATGATGGGTATCACGGTTTTTAAACTATTAGGGATGGTGACTCTGATGTATGTCAATGAAAACGTGAATTGATGACACAATAATCGTTGCCATGGGAACGGCTTAATAGAGCTCGTTGGTAGGTTACGGGTTAAAGAAGTTGCAGTTGCATTCGAAGTATTGAAGTTTGTGCAGCGTCTTATATAGGTACTTTGTTTGTTGTTCAACTTTACACTTTATGAATGAATGCATCTATTATTTAAATCTATAATAATAGATGCATTCAGTTAGATTATATTTTGTATTTATCTTATACCTCCTTACAAATAACTTTCGCAGCATAAGTTTACTTATTATATTATCTAACCTAACATAGCACAGCAGCCGAATAAGCAAATCACGCTTTTATTTAAACACTAACAAATCTTACCGAAAAAACCGTTTTCAATAAACCACGAAAGTTAAGCGTTATTTTTGAAGTAGATCACTAAATTTATAAGTTATTTCTCTAAAACAAGTCTAGCAACGATCAGTTATATGGCTCACATCTTAGCGACGTCTACATCAAACCGACTCACTTTCCGAAACTTCTCCACTTCATACAAGAATCCCCTGCGTTATCCCAGTCGGGGAGACCACCGGGCAAAACGTAACACTTCCTCTTTTCAAGGTCAGCGAAATACCACAGTAATTGATTCAAACCTGACATGCAAATAGAATGATATATAAAAAAAAGTTGCTCCCGCTGTCTGTACGTTTAGATCTTTTAATCTACATAACTGATTTTAACGCAGTTTTAGCAATAGTAAGAGTGATTAGTGACAATATGTAATAATATATTTTTAATACATGTCCGAGAGCTAATTACGGTATAAATTAAACTGAATTTTTATTAGTCCATCAGTTAAATTATCAAAAATAATGGACATTTATTAATTTTTTTAGTCAATCTACTAAAAATTTACAAAGATTAAGCATCAAATCTTTATAAATTTTTGTAGTTCAAAATGTTCAAATCTTTGTAAAATGTTGTCGTTAGTTTTAGTTTGGTAGTCAGAGCTCATAAGTCACTTATAAGTAAAAAAATTACCAAGACGTGACGTCATGCGACATATCATATCAATATATCTCTGTAATGGTTTGATTGTGTGAATAAAGAAAAAATTGGTGTCCAACATTTTTTTGATAATCTACCTGATAGACGAAGAAAATATATACATATATTATATATTTTCGTTGAAAGTTAATTATCATCCCTATTGACTTATTAATTTTCATCCACTTTATTCTATTTGACTATTGTTGTGTTAATATTCTGTTGTCTTCTAATTCCTTTTACACATTAACATTTGTTTGATCATTGTGATCATATGAGCGATTATTTTTAAAAACTTATTAAATTCTTTCATTCCTGTACTAACAATCAACAAACATTTTTGAATTTGAATTGATACAAGAAATGACACAAGATGCGACTAGGGGCGCACAAAATTGCCTCAGTCATGTTTACGAGTAGCGTAATTAAACTGTGTTATAACCTGCAGTAGTAACAAATCTCATGCTCTAAACTGCCATTAACATTGAAAGACAAATCGATCGCACGGGGACGCAAGACTTTTGCGTCTTTCCTCTGTTCATCCAATTTGTATTGCGAGTCTTTAAACTCGTCGAGTTTTTTCAACATTGTCTTTTTTATTTACCAGATTTTTCGAGTACCTATTCTACTTATTTTTGAACTCCTGGAATGGGGATAAATTGGAATAAAGAGCTGCTAAATTTAATTTTTGTCGCCAGTTAATTAAAATTTAAGTATGGCACGAAGATACGTATAGAGTACCAGATCACAAACACCATACAACTTCATTTACGTGTTCAACTGACATACGCTCATTAATATTATGTACTGTACCCTTAGCATGAACCAATATCGAATTCGTATCGTTTGCGAGTCCGAAGTGTCTTTGTCAAATGTGTAAGTACTGATTTTTAGTGCTCGTTACGTACTTTGTGGCGCTGCTGTTCAAGTTTTCATATAACATTTGACATTTTGCACTTGCAAACTATTCGAATTCGATAATGGTTTGTGCTAGGGGTACTGATTTTAGTTTGTGTAGGCATTGATCACGAATGCGAATGGCCACCTAGGTATAAGAATTTAAATTATAATAGAAGGAGTATTAAAAAGCCCAGAAATGTCATCCAAAGCCGAAAAGACTCAAAGTTCGTCTAATGAGAAACCCACAAGAACTTAACTATTTTTCCACGGTACAAAGTGTCCTTTAACCTACCTTCTATCTCTTTACAGACAATTCAACCAACTGTGAAGATAAATAAATATGTACTACCCAAATGCGTTAAGCTATATTTATGTGATTATTGTACAATAGCTGAAAATCTTGTGAAAATATACAAACTTTCGCATTTACAGTAATACTAGGATATTTTAATAAAACGCTTACCACAAGCAAAAGCGAAGAGAACCAAGCTGTAAATGAAGAAAAACTTGACGATATCGATGACCATCCTTCCGAGGGAGATCTGCAGCGGTCCCAAGTGAGGATTAATGGAAAACAGGTGGACGAGCTTCAAGGCACTGCGGAAATTGAACTAGAATAAATTACTGGCACAAAATCAGGTCACACCTGTTTTAGAAGGGTAAGCAAAGACTGATGTTTTATTATTACTTGTAACAGCCCCTTATACTGAGTTTTCGCTATCTCAGCATTGCCTTCAAAGGTTTAATTAAAAAAATTCAGTTTAAAGGTATAAGTGCGATCAATTTTCAGTATCGTTTGTTTGGTTTACTCAGTGAGTCCCTTTTCTAGTAGCAAGATCCCGAAAAAAATATTCAAAATCCGTACTCAAAAGCTTTAGAAATCTAGATACCTAATTACTGACTTAACGGATTAATAAGTGATATGGAAAAATAACTACCCATCGACAAAATAAGAAAAAAAATTACCTGAAAATATTAGCGGCCGCAAACAACCCCTCGGCAATGAGTTGAGGATCGAAGGCGTCCCAGTTCTCCCTCGGTATGAATTTAGTCTGTGGGTCTCGCCTGATCTCTGTGATCTGTTGCCAGTACGCAGCGAACCTGAGCATAGCCACGGACACGTACAAGAAGTTCCTAGTGAAATCTATGAAGTTCCACATGTTTCGAAGGTAGGAGCGTATGCCTTCAATGTAGATCTCCTGAGTTTCTTCCCAAATAAACCCTGGAAAAATTGGTTTCTCAGTAAAAACTATAAAATGGAATAATAAGTATTTCATAACATCACAATACATATACGAAAATTTACTTGTAAGAAAAAATATTAACTTGTTTCTCAAAAACGGTGATGTTCACACACTTCATACAAGAAACAAAAATAAACTAACTTTACCTGCTACTAGTCATTACAAAATCAATAATTCATTTAAAGGTATTTGTGTTCGCTTATACAAAAAAGTCCCAAGCAATCTCCGAAAAAATATTGGTCGATTCAAAAGAGTTGTACCTACCATACATGCAATTTGAATGAAGACATATTGATTTCTGATTTGACTGGATTAAGACATTTTCCATTGTCCAAGTTAATAAATTAATCATGGCAATTATGTTTATTAGTTACTGGCGGCGTATTCTATGTCTCAATCCAGGTCAAAAACTATATTCGTACCAAATTCCACCCAAATCCGTTCGCCAGTTTTTGCGTGATTGATAAACAAACGTACAAAAATTCACACTTATAATATATTATATAGTATATTAAAAGGATTAGTAGGATTTAATGAGCTACCTACTCCATTTGTATAGAATTAGAGCTGCATTTTGGACCGATTATTCAGATCTGTTATCTTTATATATATAGACTAGCGGCCCATCCCGGCTTCACACGGGTGTATTAAATACTATGGAAACATAATGAATTAGCATCCGAAAAAGAACATGAATAGATAAATACAGATTTGGAAAGTAACCGGACTGAGTTTCTTATGTAATTCTTTTTCATTGCCTTTTGGAAGCCGCGTAGTCACGCCACGACATACAGACAGACTTTTTGACTCTTCTTCTTCTTCTTCTTTTATGATGGCTTGCGTTGTGACTTAGCACAGCTCCGCCAATGTCAAGTGATTAGCCATTACACGTAAGGGAATGACAGTTAAAAATCAGAATTTTGTTTACCTATTTTATAAGCACTTTTACCTGTAAAGAAAAACGTCACAATTAGGACAACACAAACATAAAACAAGTAAAGCAGGGAGCTTTGTTATAATCTTAGTTTGTTAAGGGAAATAAATTTGGCCAAGAGCTTGAGGGTTGGGTAATCACATAAACATAGTAGGACTTTCATGCTTATAGGACGTGGAATAGTGGGAGGTAAAATGTCATAGAGAGAGATGTTTAATTTGGGGCAGTTAAAGAAAAGATGATCCACTGTACCATCCTCGGTTCCACAATCACATGTGGGGCTGTCACGTATTTTTAACCTGGCCAAGTGAACAGGGGTAGTGGCGTGACCTATCCTTAATCTACAAATTGTAGAGACCACTTTTTTATTAAGATTTTTCACCTTGAAAAACCATGGTTTGGATGGAATATTTTGCTGTATATCGAAGTAGTATTTACCAACACGATTCTTAGTCTGTAGCCAGTGAGTTTCCCATGATTTAAATAAAAGCTCGCGCGTTACGGAATATAAGTCCTGGTAGAAGACTCTGGAGTATTTCGGGAGGCCAGAAGAAATGGCGTGTTTAGCACAAGTATCCGCAGTTTCGTTGCCAGGAATACCATTATGCCCAGGGATCCAGGCTAGGGCTACGTTTGTTCCTTTTAGGTGGCATCTCAACAATGCTTCCCTAATTTTTAATACAATAGGGAATTTAGATTTAGACCGAAATTGGTTTGAATTTATGGCTTGTAAACAGCTTTGGGAGTCAGTAAGAATAAGTGAGTTATTCAGACTGTGAGACTCTATAAATAAAACAGCTTCCAGGATAGCAATAGCTTCACCGGTAAATACTGAGGCTAGTGGAGGCAATTTTAAACTCAAAATTATTTTGTGTGCTGGAAACCATACTGCAGCTCCAATGGATCCTTTATCGTGTAGTCTAGCAGCATCTGTGTATAATGGAGTCCAATTTTGCCAGTGAGTTGAGAGGTTGTTAAAGAATGTCTGAACGGCAGTTGGGGAATCTTTCTCTGCACCGAAATTAAGGATTACGGGCGGAGAGAAAGTCAAAGAATCAAAACTGTTCATAAAAAGAGGCTGACAAGGAAATTGTTCGATGGGGATAGATGTCGAATTGAATTTGTTATAGCTATGGAGGATGCAGGGGATGTTGTTTGAGGAGTTAGGTTGTGAAAGACACAGCTGTGACAGTGTTTTTAATTTTCGCATTAATGGGTGAGACGAAAATGGAAGGATTTTGAGAATAAATCGATCGCTAAGGTATTGCCTACGTAAATATAGGGGTGGATCAACGCTTTCCACTTGGAGGGCGTTGATGGGTGAAGATTTCATAGCTCCAAGTATAATGCGCAAACATTTGGACTGAATTTTGGAAATTTTGTCTAAAGGGAGTTTGTTACAGGGATCCAAGAGAAAGGTACCATAGTCCAGATGGCTGCGGACTATGGCATTATAAAGTAATTTCTGGGTATAAGGGTGGGAACCCCACCATACCCCAGATAGAGCTCTTAGAATGTTGACGCTCTTTTCACATTTCTTAATTACATTTTCGAAGTGAGGACAACCAGAAAGACGTGAGTCCAGGGTGACGCCTAAAAACTTGACTTGGTCGCACAGTGGGATGGGTGTGCTTTCAAAAAAGATGTTTGGCGATGGCATGGTTCGTTTTTTGGTAAACACTGTACAGGAAGATTTACTAATAGACAGTGTCAATCCATGATCTGTAAGCCAGTCACTTAGGTACGACATTGCTAAATTGAGGCGAGTAGAAGCTTCGGGAATGCTTTTGCACCTAGTATAAAGAGCAACGTCGTCTGCATATTGAAGGACTTGGCAAAAGGAGTCAACCGTTTTCTCGAGGTCGTATGTATATACATTATACAGAAGGGGACTAAGGGGTGACCCTTGGGGGAGACCCTTCCAAAGCATTCTCGGAGGGAGCGAGATACCCTGATACCTGATCTCAATAGTTCTACAGGATATTGCATTCAGGATAAAACGAGTCAACTTCACTGGGACACTCAGCTGTTGCAATTTATGCCTGAGTACCGGAAGGAGAACGTTGTCGTAAGCGGATGCTATATCGAGAAATAAACCCACTACATACTCCTTTTTCTTAAAAGCTATCCGGATGTCTGTGGTTAGGATACTAAGATTATCTAAAGTGCTACTACCCTTCCTAAAACCATATTGTGATTTAGCTAGCAGGTTTTGGCTCTCCAATAGCCACTCCAAACGGTTTCTGATCATGTGCTCCATGATTTTAAATAATGTCGAGGAAAGAGCAATTGGCCTATAAGAATTAGAGTCACGGGGATCCCTACCTGATTTTAGTAATGGAATTACTATTTGTTTGTTCCATGACTCAGGGATGATGCCCTGTTCAAAGAATATGTTGACTACTTTTAAGAAGTAGTGTTTGATTTTTTCAGTAGAATTTACTAAAAACGAGTAGGGAATACCATCGACTCCTGGCGAAGAGTCCTTAAGACCGCATAAAGCAGTCTGAAGCTCATTAAAATTAAATGGTTTATCCATGGGGTGACTAGAATGGAGGACGAGATACGGACAGAGAGGGAGACAATCTATAGGTGGAACAAAGGGTGGAGCCAGTTTATCTGCAAAAGTGTCCATCCATTCTGCGGGGTTATTTGAAGTCGGATTGGGACGGTCGGAAGCCCTGCGGAACCTCTTTATTTGTTTCCAGACTTTAGAAGAGGGGGTGCCAGGCGCCATTTCCTCACAGAACCTCACCCAGCTGTCTCTCTTTTTCTTGGCAAGGAATTTTTTTGTCCGGGCATCTGTCTGTTTGTACTGCAAATAGTTCTCCATTGTCATGGACAGATTATATTTTTTTTTCCATCTCCTTCCTTTTTCGAATCACGTCAGTACATTCAGCATCCCACCAAGGTGGGTGTTTTTTCCTAAATGAACGGTTTTTTAGGGGGATGTGTTCATCTGCCGAGGAGATCATAACTTCTACTAAGGATGAGTAAGCAGAGAGGCAGTTGTCCTGGGATATATCCGGTAAGGATGCTATTTTGACTTCAGCTGTTGCAGAATATGAAGACCAATCAGCTTTATTTAAGTTATACTTTAAAAGAGGAGGATTCGTATTATGTGGGTTGGAAGAGTTGGAAGGCAAAGAGATTACGATGGGGAAGTGGTCACTGCCAAATGTACTGTAGAGAATGTCCCAGTTAAATTGTGAAGCCACATTTGGAGAACAAACAGTAAGGTCCACCGCACTGAAGTTCTGAGATGGGGAAGTCCGCCTAGTAGGCCGGCCAGTGTTAATGACACATAGGTTCTCTTGGTCAAAGAGATCAAGAAGAAGAATGCCAAAGCTGTTTGATTGTTGAGATCCCCAACAGGTGTGGTGGGCGTTGAAGTCACCCATTAGGGTGATTGGCGGTGGAAGAGCTTTAATGATTGACCGAAGCTCTTGAATGGAGTCAGCGTTAGGGTGAGGAATGTATATTGAGGCAAAAGAAATGCCAAGGACTTTCACTGCCACTGCATTAATTCGATCTGAATTATGGGGGGGAAGAATTAAATTTTCATAAACCAAAGACCGTTTTACCAGAAGGGCGCTTCCCGCCCATCCATCACTCCTGTCATCCCGAAGGCATGAGAACCCAGAGACACTAAAGTGCCTGTCTGGGTTTAACCATGTCTCCGATATTGCAAGTAATGATGGAGAGAATTTATTGATCAAGTATTTCAAGTCTGACACTTTGCTTTGAATGCTTTTACAATTCCATTGTATAATGTTCAGAGCCATTTTTATTTAAGTTATTTAAAAGAGGTAAGATCTTAGAAGCAACGTTGGGCGGTAAGGGGACATCACTATATTTGGACAAAATGTTAGCTACTAATAACCACAGTAGGTCCAAGTAGTCATCATTAGGAGAATCATATGAGGGAAGTGCAGAGTTGCCTTCTGTATTACCTAATGCACAGCCATTAGGAAGAGTTGATGAAGGGCTACTTATAATATTTTGGTGAGCTAATCTGTCATATGACCTGCCTAGGGGAGTCCTAGACCGTGCTTGACGATAGATAGTTTTTTTGTAGGAGGTAGGATGTTTGCTTTGTATGCTGGGGTTTGGTGAGCCCGGTAATATTGGTAAAGAAGGTAAAATAGATTTAGTAGAGTCAGCATAGGATCTTTTCACCTGCGGATAAAGCTGAGAGGCTTCATGAAAAGACATATTTTCCTGTGACATGCTGATTTTAATGGATTTTTGCCTTGAGTGTTCTGGGCATGACTTGTTTGTAGCAAAATGTCTACTGGAACAATATAGACATGTAGCCTTCTCTTCAGGAACCACACAGGTTTCACCTGCATGGGGTTGGGCACAACGGAAACATCTGGGCTTTGAACGGCATTGAGCTTTAACATGACCAAACCTACAGCAGTTGTTGCACTGTATAGTTGGTAGTAGGTAGTTTTCAACAGGAATTGATGTGTAAAAAGAAAATATTCTTTTAGGTAGACATTGGCCCCTAAATGTGAGGACCACAGATTGGGATGGAACCCAAGAAGTCTTGCCATCAACAATTTGTTTACGGTTCAGACGTCTTGCTTTTAAGACAATACCACAACCATCTGGAACATCCAAAGACTCCACAAGTTCTTCCATACTTAATTCTGTTGGAATTCCCTTAATCAGACCCATACGGGTTACATTGTAGGTTGGAATCGTAACCACATATTTATTCAGGGCTAATAGGGGATTATTTGAGAATGTGTTGGCATCTTGATATGATCGAAATTCCACAGAGATGCGATTGCGTCCAATTTTTTTAATTCCATCTTTGACTATACTTTTAATTTTGTTTTTTGTCAAAAATCTGCCAAATATAAGAGGTCGGATAGAAGAACCAGTAGAGGGGGAGGCCTCATTAATTGATACATGTACAATAAAGGGCCCTTTATCCAAATTAGAGTACAATTTAGGTGTATCATTAAGAGAGGGGTGGGTATACAGAGAATGATTGGCTTCTTGCGATTGTTGTGATTCGGTAATGAGAGTTTTTCTAATAGGCTCGGCCTCTGCTTCTAGGTCGAGGCGTCTTTTACGTGGCGTGCCTGTTTGTGTGAACAATGGGGGAGACTGATCCATCGGAGTCGGAGATCGCTCCTCATCCGGAGGATCTGGTGGGTCGGGAGGTACCCTATCCATCGCTCACGACGCAAGCGATGGAAAGGGTAGGAAAAAAGAAGTTATTGTGTTACTTACCAATAAAAACAACACAAGGATACAATTACTACCACCACTGCTAAAGATAAAACGGCTTATACTGTGGAGAAAGTACCACTAAACTGCTGAAAATGTCAAAATCCCATAAACACGTGTATTAACCAACACTCGCGAGAACGGCTGCTTCATGCCGACTTTTTGACTCTTTGGCGAATCACAACAGACTGACAGACTTTTTGACAGATAAACTGACTAACAGAGGTTTTTACTCTTGGACAGATCACAACTGACTGACAGAGATTTTTACACTTTAACGGATCACAAGAAACTGAAAGATTTTTTACTGTTTAAATGTCATTCATCCGTGCATTAAACTAGGTCCAGCGGTTTTGACTTTGCGTTATGAGTCAACCAGCCAATCGATCAATATATCCAGTTCCCCCTTTCCATAACAGGGAGTATTGTATTAAGTAGACACCAATCAGCATCCGGAAATAAAAGGGAAAATACGTAGGTACGATCTGGTAAAAGTGGTTTCGAAATCGGTAAAGTGGTTGAAAAATAGAATTTACCCCTGGAGATCCCGTGTCCGTGAAATTAACAAAAAAAAAACTTGTACTTATTCTTCTATAATTATAAATATTGAAGATTTCGTTTTGAAAATCAGTTAAGTGGTTAAAGAAACATGATTTGAAACCCATCGGTAGTAGTCTCATTCCCGTAGAATTGTTGGGAAAATGTTGTTTTATTATAATCCTTTACAATAAAACCTTCTCTTAGTGAAAGAATTTTTAAAATGGGTCAAGATGAGTCAGTCAGTGTATCCTGTTCTCTCTTTATTATCGTAATAGCATAGAGTATAGATAGTAAAGAATAGATATAGAAGTATTGATATAGAAGTAGACATAGATATATTCGGTAAACTCTTCGGTTGTCATCACGTGTCAAATTATGAAGTTTAAGCTTTAAGAATATTTAATTAATAACAAATCAGAATAAATCTGCAGAAAACAGATCGAATATCTGAAATCTACTTAGTCAGGGGCATGGCCACCCTGATTTTTCAGCTTAGCAAAAAGTTTCGCAGTAAATAGGTCGAATATATTAATTCTATTTGGCCATGGGCATGGCCATCCTGATTTTTCTGTTTAGCAAAGAGTTTCTATAAGGCATATAGGTTGAATATCTTTATATCCCGGAATTCCCAAGGGAACGGGCACTTCGAGAGTAAAACTACGGGACACATCTAGTAACAACATATTAGAGCAAATTTGCTGAATATATTTTATAGATAACCTGCTAACCTAATTTCTTAAAATCGAATTTCAAAAAATATGTTTTTTTTTTATTTCAGTTTAGTTTATGTAAGCCGAGTTCCAAAGCTGTCAAGCTAGCCAAACTCGTTTTCCCATACAAACTTTGAACCCCTATTTATAACTTCAACAAGCTATATCTTTGTTTTATGAATTGAATGAATTTTATACAAAGTTTGCAAAATTTTAATCAATCCTATGCATTTTTGGATGATCTCCCATACCAACTTTGACACGAAATTTTGAGAGTAGTTTAACAATAGGTTCCTATTTAATAATATTTATTCAAAAATTGCAGTTAATAGGTCCAAGTGATAAGATATTACGAGCAAACAGTTTTTTACAAATATCACGATTGAGAGGTTGAATTTCAAAAAAATCCCATCTTATTACTTGTCTAGGCAATAGTAGGTTCCTAACCTACTGTCCAAATTTCATCATTCTAGGTCCAACCGTTTCGGCTGTTCGTTGATGTGTCAGTCAGTCAGTCTGTCAGTGCATCCTTTTCTCTCTTTATATAATAGTATAGATGTACATGTATTTCTGATACCCTCAATGGGTTTGTTAAGTGTTAAAAATAAAACATTTAAGTACACTTGGACTTTTTGCTTTGCTGGAGGCAGAAGGCAGGAGGCATCAAGAAGTCCTGGACAAGAACAATAACCAACACTCTATTTACCTAACACGTATACGACCACCACCAGCTCGAGGTAAGTTGGCCCATTCCCTCTCTGTTTCAGCAACTCTTTCTCCAACTCCTTGACCATCCAATCAGGACCAAAGAGTTGTATCACCTGCACCTCCGCTCTTTGTGACACCAGGATCAGAATCACTGTTCAATTCAAATAATTAATGATGATACCAAAAAAGGTGCCTAAAAAAATAGATCAAGTTGAAGCAAGGCTTCAGCGCGCATGTTAAGCTGGTGGTCCTGGCCGCAGATGCAATCGTTATCACCCACCAATCTGCTCAAGGTCTAATCTGTACCATCTACGTGATGCGACATGGCCGAATCTCCCTATCCCTCAATAGGGGCGGCCTGTGTCCTAGCAATGCAATGGAAACATCAATAAGTATGATGATTATAAATCCCAAAACTAGTAATTTGATCAATTAAAAGCACATCGTTTCATTATAACAATATTTTAGTTTGTGATTATAGATATGAGCTAATAACATTATTCTCATAGAAAGTTCACTAACCATAAGATGCATAAAATATTCTCATAGCCAACCCTTATAGATATATAATATAACAATACAGGGAGAAAAAAACAGCCCTTGCTGAGTTTCTTGCAGGTTATTTTTAGTACAAGGTCTCCCGCCGTAGTTTGCGAACCGATAGCGTAGCTTCTTGACTTTCACAAGTGCTTGTAACAGCCTAGACTGAATAAATGACTTTTCATTACATTTCTTAAAGATACCTGATATTTAGCATTTCCAGTAGGATCTAAAGTGTTATGTGACGAATTGACATTTTTGATATCGCAAATTTGCAAGTGTCTTTAGGCTACTGTGGCCACTTAATATCAGACGGGTCATACGCTAGCTTGCAACTCTTTTTGACATAAAAAAACACTCACGTAAGAAGAACAGATAGCTGGACGCGTGAATCAAGAATTTCATGAAGGGTTTCCTCATCAGCTTGCCAGTGGCACAGTTGGGCGCGATCATGTACAGACTGCAGTAGAATGGGAACAGCAGAGCGACACGGCAGATGATCATGGTCTTCTCCATGGCTGTCTTGCGTCGGAAACCAGGTACACCCTCGTACCAGATGGCGGCAAGAAGTTGCTGGATGTTGGGATGAGCTACGAACTAATAAGTTTACATTTTAAGAACATTCTTAAAAAGTTATTTCTATTTAAATGATAAGGTTAGTTTATTTATATTTTTTTAACAAACCCTTTGAATTAATACTTACTCATACCCTTAGATTAAAACAAAAAGGGTAGATACGGCACTAGCCTCACAAAAGTGATCCGCATGAATTGTGGTCCACGACCCTAATCGCTTTAGTCACAACTTGGCATGCAAACGACGTACAATCAAAACGTCAAAAAGAAATATTGCTAATATTTTGTGTTTGTATGATAAAACAATGCCTAAATGTGTTTTTAAAAAGTGCTCAAATTGCTCATGAACTAAAAATAACACCCACAGCATCACTTTTCATTCGTAAGTATTATAAAATATATTTTTCATAAAAATTGCTGTTTGTTTTGAATCTTATTCGGTAGTGACGTCGACGCGACCAGTAGGTCGCGTGATTGGTCGGTAGTGCAGTGACGCGGATCTCGCCGTCTCGTTCGCGCTGCCGTTAAAACTTAACGTGCTGTTTCGTTCGGGTCGGTAAAGCAGTGACGCGGATCTCGCCGTCCCGTTCGCGCTGCCTGCTATCATAGTTTTTGTTTGATGCAAGTATGAGCGTACCGTATCTACCCTTTTTGTTTTAATCTAAGCTGAGATGAGATCAATCCATGAGAGTGCGCAATAAAATTACTAGTCCACCATCGAGCGTGAACCGTCGACGATTCTGGATTTGGAATGACGTCACTTTGTCATCCAAACTAAACATGTATCCAAAAATTACCAACTGAATTGAGAATCTCCTCTTTTTGAAGTCGGTTAATTAAATAAATACCTCATCGGTTTAAGATAGCTTTTTTAAAATTCAGTCGCAAGATTCGAATATACAAACATTGCAAGTTAATTAAATTAAAGCTTTCAATAGTAAGCAGCTTGCTATCATCGTTTTAAGAAACAAGGCATAATTAACCTTCTTTTGTTTGAAATTAATAGCCAGTTCCAATCTGGCCAGCTTCATGTGATCTCCTTCAACGAATCCTGGTTCATCAGGATCATGGTTCAATATGACGGCCAGCTCTTGACTGCTCCGTGACTGATCTAGTAGATCAACCGCAAACTTCTGCGCTTGGCGACGCAGCTCCAAATATTCAGATTTGCTTTCCTATAAAAATCATTTTGTCAGAGGGTGAACCACACTTTGTCTACACAGAAATATTGAATTAATAAATAAATATATATTACCAACACTCACACCAATTAGCCTAGCCCAAAAGTTAGCACTGAAGGGCTTGTGTTGTGAGATACTAGGGTAAAGGATGGAATACATATACTGATACATATACAAGTATATTTTATCTAGAAATACATATAAGCATCCATGACTTAGGTACAAATGCTCGTATTCATCATACTAACATTTGCCCCACCGGGCTTCCAACCCGAGACCTCTCGAGTAGGCGACACGTTGTAACCCGGCGTACATACTCGGCCACGGAGGTCGTCAAATGATTGATTGATTTACAATTGATTTGCTACATAAACTTTCATCCCTTATTTTTCCCACTTCTAGTTATATTTTTGTTTCAAAACGTAGCCCTTCGATTTCGAAATCGATTCAGTAGTTAAGGCGTGAAAATGAAGATATTATACAGATTAAGTTTTAGCATAGAACATAGAACTTGTAGACTAGAAAATATAAATAATATTGAACAGCGCAATAAAAAAGGCAATTAAATGTTTATATGTTCCTGTTTGAATTTGATTCAGTACTTTTTAAATACCTGTTCAGCAAAAGCCAAGTTTCGTAGTTCCCAAGACAGTTGAAACGCGGTCAATATAGGATCGGTGGAAGACAGAGCGATGAGTGAGGGCGACGCCAACGCCCTGTACTCGTTCAAACGAGCCAACGAGTGTCGCAGGGAGTCTTCTGTTGACAAACGGATGCACTCCTCACAGCCACACCTTGATAAAAGAAGAAATGTTGTTCACAATATTAATAAAAATTATGCTGTCTTCAGCCAGTTTCTTCTGTATTGCAGTAAGGTCACCCCTGCGGGAACAGGAGTAGAGGGAACAGGAGAATGAAATTTGTAACTCCTGGTTGCTAGAGTCTAAAGTATATGTTAACAGATGCTTACCATCAAGGTGACCATAGGATTGTTAGCTAGTATGCAGAAAACTCACTGAACTTCACATCAAATAAACCAACTAGGTAATCTAAACAATATCCCAATCCAGTGTATTGTGTAATCTTGGAAACTTTACTCATCGATAGAAACACAATACTCCCAGCAACACATTGAAACCGTGATCAAAACAGCTTCAAGCAAACTCGAAGTCTTGAACAATAGCGGCGTTTTTTCACGCCCGATCAACTGTCCTTGTTGTGCAAAACGCAAATGTGGTCCTGCGTGGAATATTGCTCGCACCTCTAGGATGACTCCCTTAAGAACTTATTCAATGCCTTGGATAGGTTACAGCGGCAGCTGCCCGCATCATTGGCGATGATGAGGTAACTAACAAACTTGAGTACTACAATTACGCCGCGATGTGGCATCATTAAGCGCATACCACGGCGAGTGTTCTGAGGAGTTATTCTCCCTTATCCCTCCATCACCTTTTATTCAGAGGACCATCACGCGCGCTGGCCTACGTTATCACCGACTTACTTTGGCCACTATTCGTAGACGAACAAAGAAATTTGATGACTCATGTCTTTGTCGTACTATTCGTAAGTGGAATTCTTTACCCGCGCACGTTTCGCCACCTTCCTACAATCTACGGCCCTTTAAAAGAGGCGTGATTTACCACTGCACTCTGCGCGCTTCTCAAGTAAGCAATTTTAACAACATATCTCCGCCTTTGTATTCTTATGGGGTGAGGTATACCCCTGGGTGAGCATTACGCATTTTTCCAACAATAAAAAAAAAGGTTCACGCCAGCAAGTTTGGCTAGAGCAGCGGCAGACTTCTTTGCGTCTTTAGCTATCTTGGCGACTGGAAAATAAAGTCACTTGCACTCATTCATTATCAAGATTGAGATTAGTTATATGTTTATGCCTTGTATAGAATACAATAATTGCAACATTTATTACTTTCAGCACACCTTACGTCGTGTGGATTGGGTACAGTCGCGCCACGGTCCAGCAGGATCTTAAGGATCTCGTAGTTGTTCTTGTGACCGGCCAACATCAGGGGAGTAACGTCCGGCGTGAACATAGCAGTATTCGGGTCTACTTTCTGCCAACTCTGTGAAAGGAAAAATTAACAATGTCTCACGTAATTTTTTTATAAACTACGTCAGAACAACACATTTTAATCACAAAACACCCCAGTTAAATGATACTCGTACTTTCGACCGCAATCAAAGAAGTCAAGTACTATTAAACATTTTAAAAAATTGTAAATTTGGTCTCCCATTCAAACTTCCCCCCCCCCCTTTCATCCCCTTAAGGGGTGATTTCTAGGATAAAACAATCCTATGTCCTTTCCCGGGTTTCAAGCTATATCTATACGAAATTTAAACTTAATCGGTTCAGCGGCTTTAACGTGAGGGAACACACAGACACGCTTTCGCATTTAAAATATTAGTATGGAAATATGGATTTTTTAGTAAATGCCGAGCCGAAGAGGAATTTTTCTATCATGAATAAGGCGTGAAGTGCACACGATATTCGTAACCCCAACATGAAAAGTGAAAGAGTTGACCAATGGGTACTGAAGTAGTAGGTAGGTATAGTTTAATGTCTTTGGTGCTGAAAAAATATTTCGCTCTAAGTAACGATAGTGATTATATGTTCGGCAGGCAATCGAACCACTGCCTTTCATAATACAGGTCTTACCTAGCATGAAATTCAGGGGTCCTACTTATAAGATTATAAGATAACAAACCATTCCTAGTCTATTTTAAGATGTTATTGTAGTAGAACTTGTAAGGTTTGATGTATAAACATTATTATTATGTTCGCTCTAAGATTATATGTTTGGGGAAATGCTGAAATGCTCTACAATGCGAAATAACGAATTGTGCCACGTTCAGAGCCGTTGATCCCGGAATTCTATTCTTCTCAGAAATCTGAACGTGTTTTTTTTCATTGGAATCAGCTTTTGGAGATCAGTGCGTCATAGAGCAGTTCTTTTATGTTGTGTACAACTCGAGATATTCGAACTAGATTTATAGCTTTTATCTGTATACATTACCTTGTAGTGTTTTACTTACATTTTATATTTAGGCGAGGCCTATAAATAAATAACCGTAATAAATTTCATTACATTTTTATTAAAGCATGCCCCCCCCCCCCCCCCCCAGATTTGTATAAAGTACATGGTGTATGACAACGGATACGAAGTTATACACACACGCTGCGATAATAACGACGAAATATCGCAATTAAGGATCCGATATTATAGATCGATCTTAACGGTCCTATGGGGCTTGAAAACGTTAGATCTGAATGAGTGTCATGGCTTTAGCACATAGACCAAGTATCGCGATATCCTAGGCCCCTGCTACGCGTGGTAGCAGATGCGAGGTCTCGTTGTTGATTTTTAAAGATGATTTATATTTTGTTTTAAATTAATGAGACCTTAATAAAGATTATTTGACTTATTTGATATAACTTAAAATATATTTTACTCATATTTCATCTAAATAAAAAAAAACTGGGCAAATTAAAAAGCCGGACAAAGTCCAGACAAAAGGCAAAAAGTTCCGGACAAATCCGGACGGATGGTAACCCTATACCCATGAGACTTGCGAGAGGCTAGGTATGAGGTCCGTTCGTACCTTTAAGGGCGCCAACGTCTCTTAATAGAGGTTTCGCCTGCCCATGCTGTAACATGATTACTGCTCCGTGACATCTGCCGACCTAGCAACCTAGATTAGTAGCCATTTTTAAAATTCTACCGGGTGCTACGATATCTATTAAAAACTGAATAAATAAAAAAGGAATCTTCGATAAATAGGTACGCGTATAACTCGCAAAATACTCCATCGAATTTGAATTTTTATTTTGTTTGCATTGTCATTGTCAGGACAAGGTTTGTATAGAAGATTTTTTATTAACAGGATAAAATATATAGCATTATGAAGTTCGCCGGGTTAGCTACTTTTCAATAAATAAAACAACATAATAAAATAAGGTACTTTCATCAATAATAATTTTTCAATATTGAAAGCTTTTCAGTATCAAATATTCGACAAATTTTATGGAGTTGACTCAATTCAAATTAATAGCACTTAAATTAAATTATATCCAATAGCACTTTATTATGGTTTGCTTTTTAAATACGTTTCACTCGTAGAGTGCGTCAAAACAAACATCCAATTTTGACAATCTAATAATATAGCCACTCGCTAAATTACTTATTTGAAAGCGAGCACATTTTAACAAGAGCAAATTGTATAAAGTAATTTAATTATAATATACATTTTCGAACGTGGGGTTATTTTCAGATAACGAAGCAAAAAATTCGGCATGTGGGTTGGCTATGATAATAGTACAATAGTAGGTACATGGTTAGCCTATACAGTCAGGTCATAAGTATTGTCACACAGTAAAAACTTTTCTTTTAGAATGCTGCCCACAAAAAAGTTTATTGAATTCGAATTTCGAATGTATATATACCTAGTCAGGTCATAGATTCTGTCACATGTTTGATATAAAATAAGTATATAAAAGAAAAAACGCAACATCCAGAGCCGACTCTTTCCTTGAGCGCGACTGTTACGTTCTTTGCGCTTTCACATTAAAAACTACTTCATTCAAATATATATTCCTAATTATCTTTATAACACATTTGCTCGTAAAGCGTCTCTTATTGAACCAATTTCAATATCATAATCTATCACATTACACACGCGTGCGGTAATGTAAAGTAAAACGCACGGCTTATTATGTTCCGTCTAAAACGAACGATACTTTTTTAAATCTTAGCAAAGAATTTTACGTCAGAAAGATAGCCAACATTTTCTTAATAAAATTAACTTTGGGAGATAAAATATAATATATAAACATTAAATTCTTTAATTTGATACATTTTGACAATAAATTACAACCATGTATCGATAACAAATTCACAAAAATATTAATTTACTTTATTAGTAACACTGGTTGTTCCTTTGCCTAAAAAGCGTTGATGCGCGCGCATCGCTAATCTGTGAAAAAATTATTTGTTTTTGCTGTATTGGCCAATATGGGAAACTACAAGGCCGAAAAATTGTAAAAAAATAATTTACAGTATTGTTTTTATTTGAAAATATCGTCAAGTCAGTCAAATCACGGATAGATACTTACAGTGAAGCGTATCAAAATTTCATCTTATGGAAAACAAACAAAGGTGCAAATTCATTTTCAGAAAGTACGTTCGTAGGTAGTATTATTTCCTCGCAAATGTGTTATAAAACGTCGTATGCCATACGTGCGGATTGATAATTACAGCCTCTGCCTTCTTATAGCCCTCACCTACGGCTCGGGCTAACAATATCGCCTCGGTTGTAATTCTCAACTTACCGCACTTATATCATAATGTACTATCACCTAACAATATTACAAAGCTGATAAATTTGTTTGTTTGATTTGTTAAACGCGCTAATATTAGAAACTATTGGTCCGATATGAAAAATTATTAATGTGTTAGAAAGTCCAGTCCATTCATGGCTAAAGGCATAACATCACAATACAACCAATAGGAGCGGAGCATTGATGAAAAATGTTGCATAAACGGGAAACAATATTCCATTTAGGAGTTAGAGACATAAAAATCATGTATGACGGTAATATTCACCTTTTAAAGTTCTCAAAAAAAAAGTCCACGACAGCATAATAATATGTCCATCTTTTAAGTTTGGCTAACTACAACTATTTTCCTTAAATCAACGCGATTGAAACCGCGGGGTTGCTCTCGTCCTAAGTATTCATTTACTCACGTATGGCTCCCCATCCTTGTGTATCAGCTCCTCGTGCTCCAGGAGTAGTTCCACGGCCTCCACGAACTCCGCGTTGATGGCCTGCAGCAGAGCGTCCTTGGTCTCCACGCCCATGATCACCAGCAGTTCCACCATTTCCATGTTCTCACCGTCAATGGCCACGGTCAAAGCACCACGCCCGAGGGAATCTACGCAGTTTATGTCGATGTGTTTCTGGCGATGAGCCTTTTGCAGCATTCTGTTGTTGAAGAACAAAGATCTCTTTTAATGCTACTTATATTAAATATAAAATACTAGCGGCCGCCCGCGACTTCGTCCTCGTTAACTTTAGTTTTTTAAGAATCCCTCTCGAACCTAAATTTTTTTCTGGGTAATAAATATCCTACGTCTCAGCCCAAGTCATAAACGTTATACGTACCAATTTCATCCTAATCCGTTCAATAGTATTTGTGTGTTGAGTAACAAACATACAAACTTTCACATTTATAATATGAGTAAGATAGTAGCAATTGTTTTTTTAAGTTTTCACGCACACCCCTTATTAAATAAAATCACTTTTTTACGGGTTTAAAATTCGTTTTATTAATGTTTTTTTTCATTACTCGACGTGTCGCACTCTTCAAGGTGCACTCTCATAATAATATGATTTATATTAAACATTTTATAAAAAAAAGCATAGAACACTTATTTTAAACCCGTCAAAAGTGGTTTTATAAAAATATTTCTAACAATAACACCAATTAAATCCAAAGTAAGCAATGTAAGGTTTGTGTTCCGAAATGCTAGGGTAACGGATAGAATACCTACATATAAGTTGGTATACTCATACACATAAAATAATATTTTCTACTCCACCCAAAAACGCTCCTCAATTACAAAGGAATGTTTGGACCGTCTCCCAACACGCTAGCCCAATGCAGGTTCGCAGGAAAACCAAGATATAGCCTAAAGAATTATTTTATTCTTATTTGTTCGATTCATTAGTTCGATCGTCGAACTAGTGAGATTTTTTTTTCTCATTAATTCGATCATCAGACTACTGAGATTTTAGTGTTCTCATTTGTTCGACCTTCGTCGAACTTATTTTCTTTATTTATCCATTTTCCTTACCAGAACCTCTTAGTTACGTATGGTCTCCTGGTACGTTTTTCAAAATAGTGCTTTTATAAATGTTTATGGATGCAATATTGACAAGGGGATATACTCCCGTATTAGAGAGAGATTATTAAAACTTTTATTGTTTTTTTTATTTCTTCATGGCGATTCACACCTTCAGTCAGTCTATCCCAAGGAACTTACATATTATCTGGAATGCTGACCTGACCTCAAAAGCGTTCCGAACAGTAACATAAGTGATGAGATAATCCTTTTTTTCTGAATAAAGTAACCTTCTAATTTTCAATTGTATTTCCTTAGCTTAAAGTCCAAAATACTATTAAAATCTTTAAACGACCATCTTAAATAAAAATCACTATTTTGAAAAAAGTACCAGGAGACCATACATAACTAAGAGGTTCTGGTAATGAAAATGGATAAATAAAGAAAATAAGTTCGACGACGGTCGAACAAATGAGAACAATAAAATCTTACTAGTTCGACGATCGAACTAATGAATCGAACAAATGAGAATAAAGGAAAGAATTGCGAGCCTTAAGTGGCAGTGGACAAAGCAGATTGTAAGGAAGACTGACGGCCGTTGGGGCGGAAAGGTCCTCGAGTGGTGATCGCATACCGGGAGACGCAACTTTGTAGGCCCCCTGACAAGGTGGTCCGACGATCTGGTGGAGGTAGCGGGAAGCCGCTGAATGTGGGCAGCGTAGGACCGATCAGTTTGGAATTCCTTGGGGGAGAACTTTGTCCAGCAGAGGTCGGCGCGTCGGAGGAGTGGGGAATCGCGCGAGTGACGTGTGGCGGCGTTTTGTATCGGCGCATTAAGTGGCCGATGCGGGCCACAAGAAGCGAGTAACGACGATTTGTAGCGTGTGACGGTCACCGGCGTACCGTGTGTGGCGAGTCCATATAAAATGTATGAAAACTACAAGAAATATGCCGGTGGCGGCGTTTTGTGATTGTGGTCGGTGGCCCGTGTGCGGCGACACTAATGATTCTAAAGTTTCTTAACAAGTCGGGGAGCTCTATTTTTGAATCACTCGTCTGTCATAGTATCGCCGAATGCGACATAAGTCACCTTCGACTTTCAAGTCGCATAATACTGATTTTCCGTATTTTTGAATGATTCGTCACCGGTGTTGCCTGTTTAATACGAAATATGAAATTTTACTGATTTCACGCAGAAAAAATAAAAACCGGTAATTAATTACCGTAATGAAAACCGAACAAAAAATTTTCGTTGTCGTTTCATATAAAGCATGACATTGATAGATTATCGTCGTCTAATAGCACAAAAAATTTGACAATTATTCTATCATTCGCCTCCACCGTTCGCTATGCAGCGAGTGGTCTCACCCATTCGTTGCACTCGAACGATTCAAAAATACAGAATTAAATAAGTCGAATGAAATTTAGTAGAGTTCGAGCGATCGACGCAAGACGAGTGATTCAAAAACAGAGTTCAAGTACTCTCACCTTCTGACGTTCGCCATATCCCCTCTCTCTGCTGCTAGGAGATACTTCTTTTCTTCCAATGTGAGAGGTTTTGGTAAAGTCGGCAAGTCCATAGGCTTTCGCGTACTTTCCAGCGCGGGGTCACCCTTTGAACACAAAATAATGTGATCTGTAGGTTACATGATAATACAAAAAGAAGTTATTATAATGTAAGGTTGCGAGGCACAATCGATGTCTAGGTATGTATCAGTTATGCTATCCGCAGTGTATTTTTAATTTTTACAGTGAATTAAAGTCATATTTGCAAAATATTTTTTTTAATATAGCCAATTTTATTGCATATATTGGCTCCTGTATTTTTGTAAAAATTGGAATATTTCCAGTAAATTGCCAATATCCTAGGTAAGAATGAAGAAACAGCGCATCACAATCGTAATGTAATGACTGGGAATACAGAACCTTTTCTTTATCTAGGTATCAGACAGGACTTGAACCTGTCATCAAAATTGCATTAAGAATTATAAATCTTTCAGGTTAATGCTTCAAACAACAATACAGCAACCTTCCTTTATCTGTGCCGTGGTATTGTTAACTTACACAAATACATATTATTTCTTTATCTAGCCCGTTTTTTTATTATTTATTATATATGATGTTGTTCGTAGATTATTTAACAGTGTCACCGTGGTAGGGAAAAAATATGGACAATTCAAAAGTGTTGTATTTTGCATCCAATTTGAATAAAGAGATTTTGACTTTTGACCGGGGTTTGGGGGCGGCGAGATCCTAAAAGGACCTCAGGCCGAGAATTGGTGACTCTAGAGGTATGCGAGGCAGAGGGCACCACCCTCCCTTAAAGGAGGGAGTCTGGAGCCTTTAGACCACTCGAACTTGAAGGGGTCGGCTCAAATAGAGGGCGTCTCTGAAACTCGGACCTCGGCTCTAGTTCGCCGTTGCCGTGGGGGAGTCCCTGCCATAGTGTTGTTTACTTACACACTCAAGATCCTTTTTTTCGGCCATGGTGTCTGGTTTACCCCGTGTGCTGTGTTGGAGCAGCGTCCGCCCCCGCAGGCGAAATTCTAATCCTCAACTACCGCTTACACCTGAGCAAAAACGTATTTTATACAAACAGCAACAGGCATTGGAAGAAAACATTACCAGAAAAAATTAATGATTTTTTTCAAGTAGGTAATATACTCTTTATATTTAAATATAAACAACTAACTTGAAAAATTGAAACATTGCATAGATAAACGAAACGACAATTATTTAATAAATCATAAAGAAAAATAAGACTCATGCCTGTTATAATATTTTTTATTACCAGTTTTTAACTGCTTATTGTTTTTAACTGCAAAAAACTGGTAATGAAAAATATTATAACAGGCATGAATCTTATTTTTCTTTATGATTTATTAAATAATGGTCGTTTCGTTTATCTATGCAATGTTTCAATTCCATCTAACATTTTGTAGTAAAAGAAATTCATGTTCAAAGATTCCATATAACACACAGACAGTAAAGCTAATAATTCGTGGTAAATATAGTCACAATACGGAAAGCATCCCCTTTGAATTATAGCGCTCCACGTATTTTATGGTTAAAGAGTGGCATTCAAGCATATGGCCCGCCTGATGGTAAGCGGTCACCACCATAGCCCACAGACGCTTGCGATGCCAAAACTATCACACACACCCCGTTGCCTACCCTCACCCCATCCCCTTACTCCATGGAGCTCAAGAACCTGACTCACCGACATAAACACAACAAAAAACAGTGTGCTTATGACCACACGACTGAAGTGAAACTTCTTTAGCTCCATGCTAGCTTTAGCTATATGTGTGTACAATATATACATTTGTGTACATATACATATTTCATTTACTAGCTATAAGAGAAAGAGAGGAAGAAAATGTGCGCACGCACTGCTTTCTCTTGCTTATATCCCGCACTCAACTCCCGTTCGCCTCGCCCGAACACGCTTTTCGTACCGCGTAACGCATTCGCCAGCTTACCCCCTAAGTCAAGCGTGCGTAAAGAAGTTTAACTTCAAAAGTTGTGTTATTTTACTGTAGTAAGGTGGAGGTTACTTCCCCAGACGGGTGCTCCAGCGTGAAATCTGTTATGCCCTACGTCTCTTAAAACGAAACGAACGAGACTGCATAAAAATATCACTAGAGGTGTTTTTTTCTATAGAATAAAATAAAAATAATAGATGTTGATAAATAATAATAATAGACGTTCCCTTTAATCCCAGGGGCTAGTAATAGGGCCAAGAGAACCCTCCCTCTCTAGGGTAGGCACTGCAAAAGTCTTGTATCGTAAGAAAAGAAAAAAAAACGACGGGTTGCACTCCGGGAGTGCCGGCAGAAGTGAAAATTGTGCATTTTTGATATTTTGGAATGGTTAGGGAATAGTTTTGCACGAATTGCTTTAATTATCAGTATAAAAGTATTATCATGTATATGGTAGAATACAATATTTATTTATTGCGCTATCGTACACATGACAATTTATATTACATTAAAAAAGTTTATCTCTTGTAAAGAAATTAACTTAAATGAATCACATTTAAGCGCACCTAGCGACATCTATTGTAAAAAAAATGCATTTTCTTCGCAATAAAGCTGCCATGTAGACGTCCTAGTGTAGTCTTATTATTATAATAAATTATTATTATGTTTCGTCCAATATAAACAGTCAGTTTTTTTTTTTGGTAAGTTCTCCCTTTTCAGGGAAGGCAAGGGGAACAATGCCCATACAGCCTAGTCTTAAGTTAAATTATTCTGTTTTTCTTTTTACATTAGAATGTCGGTGTGACGCATTCTAATGTTTCTTGAAGTGTTTGGCACGAAATGTATCGAGCTGGCTTTCTCGATAAGCTTTTGTGAGGTAGTCAATACTACAATAAAATTCTCACGTCCACTTGACCGGAATAGCGTATATTTTAAAGATTCCACTAATTCTTCAGTTGCGCAGACGGTTGTAACACAAAATCACACCAATTTTATTTCACAATATCCACTATGAACAAATTTAAGAATAATTAAAATAAGACGCCAACCGCACTCGATGAAATCCCGCCAAAAACCTAAACAGTCAGGTCATCATAAGTATTGTCACACAGTAAAAACTTTTCTTTCAGAATGCTGGCCACAAAAAAGTTTATTGAATTCAAATTTCGAATTGTTCATGAAAATAAAAATGTATACTTTTTAGAATTTTACTCTTTTTAAATATGGAATGGACGCTTAAAGAAGACCGTGTTGCAGTTATTGCGTTGCATCGTTGCGGTTACATTTTTGTTTGGTTAAATTTTTGACATACCGAAAAATGAATATAACCAAAAGATTCGTTTATCGTACTATCAAACAATACAATGAAGACTCTAGTGTGGATGACAGGTTAAGAAGTGGTCGCCCTCGGTCTGTTAGGACTCCAGTTGTGATAAAAGCTGTGTAGGCGCGAATTCAAAGAAATCCCAAACGTAAGCAGAAACTGTTGGCCCTTCAGATGGGGTTAAGCAGAACCACGGTGAAAAGGGTGTTAAATGAAGACTTAGGGCTTCGGGCATATCGAAAAAAAACAGGACATCGTTTGAATGCTCGTCTAATGGACCTGAGACTGAAGAGATGCCGTGCTTTGTTGAAGCGGTACGCGGGAAAAATATCGGGAAATTCTTTTTTCGGATGAAAAAAATTTTACCGTAGAAGAGAGCTACAACAAACAAAATGATAAGGTGTACGCAGTAGTGAAGAAGCGAGCAACCGTATTCCGCATGTCCAACGAGGTCATTTTCCATCCTCGCTCATGGTATGGTTGGGAGTTTCTTATTGGGGCTTAACAGAGGTACATTTTTGTGAGAAAGGTGTAAAAACGAATGCAGTTGTGTATTAAAATACAGTCCTGACGAACCTTGTGGAACCTGTTTCTCATACCATGTTCAATAACAGGCACTGGGTATTCCAACAAGATTCGGCGCCAGCTCATAAAGCGAAGAGCACACAAGACTGGCTAGCGGCGCGTGAAATCGTCTTCATCCGGCACGAAGACTGGCCCTCCTCCAGTCCAGATTTGAGTCCGTTAGATTACAAGATATGGCAACACTTGGAAGAAAAGTCGTGCTCAAAGCCTCATCCCAATTTGGAGTCACTCAAGACGTCCTTGATTAAGGCAGCCGCCGATATTGACATGGACTTCGTTCGTGCTACGATAGACGACTGGCCGCGCAGATTGAAGGCCTGTATTTAAAATCACGGAGGTCATTTTGAATAAACATTATTGTCATAAGAATCTATGTTTTGTTAAGTTCATTTTGGTATATAAATGGTTACATAATGAATAAACTTTTTTCAACCTTATTTAACCGTGTTTAACCTGACGTGAGTTTAACATTTTTTTACCCATACAAAAAAAAGTGTTCAACGACAAGATTCTCAGTGATTGATCTGGTCTTGAGCACAGTGAGAAAGGGATGTCGCTATATATAGCACATAGCGACATCCCTTTCTAACTGTACTCAAGTAAAGATCAACACTTACTTATCATTCTGTAATACGGGCCTAAGAATATATGAAAGAAGAATATTTATTCACTTTTTCTTAGCTGATTTCGTAATAAGAAAAATAATCCTAGCAACATTAACTACTTATATTAAGCTTTTCATCGATTTTTCAAAGTTTTTTTTTATATTTGTATTCTTTTGTTAATATATTGACCAATTTGATTTATTAGTGACGTTTGAATTATACATTTGATAACGTTAATATAAAATATCAACTGATAAAACTTGCAGTTAGCATAAATGATGCATGTTGCTAAGACTTTTCTAATATGTGTAATATGATAATTAATATTCCTCGTTTCAGGAAATGGCACCCATTCAACCAGCTACGAAAACGGATTAATTAAGTGTGCAAAGTTTTAGTTCAAATAAAAATGGATAATTATCCATCTGAGATTTGAACTTAAACGTTAAATATAAAACGTTATATTATAATCTAACGTTTTGGTGAAAATCACACTCCTATACATATATTCCGTAACATAGGTAGTACCTTTTTGTGAATTTAATAAAAGCGTCGTAAAAAGGTAAAGATGCGTAATGTGAGAAACAAAGGGGCACAGTGTATTCCGGTGGTCGTTCCTGAACAAGAAAACTCTCATTACCTGAAAAAAAAAAGCAGTAGGTATAATATATCAGTGGAAATGCACGGACAGGGTTCCGTTCGTTGTACACTAAATCGACCAAAAAATAAAAATCACGTTTCTAAACGTTTCTAATAATCTACAACGTATTATATGGGAGGCAATCTTCAAGGGTAGTGTTTGGTATCTATATGCATAATCGGACAGGTATAGTCGAATAGGCAGTATTTGTCGAACAACAAAGCCGACCCGAAGTAATGACTATCGAATATTCATGCCAATTAATGCCGGCCAATTAATTATGTGTGTAGTAGCTACCCTAATTGTTCTAATTTATTGTTATTTGTCGTCATATCTGTAATGAAAATACTGGATCTGTAAAAATAAATAACTAGGTATATCTGATGCGCTGACAGACGGACTGAGAGACGAACAGACATTGGAATGATCTAAAAACGGATAGACGCCGGAGTGTTACGGAACCGTAATAACGAACTAGTTTCCTAATGAGGGCTGCACTTAAATATATTCATAATTATGTACGCGCTTGAATCCATTGAAGTGCGCGCCTACAGAGCTAATCGCCGTACGACTTACGGCCGTCACCCATTTCCAGACGACATAACCTTACAACGCATAATTCAATTGACGTAAGCGCATCAGCCTTTTTATCTTACACGAACTGTTTACACGATCGAATAAATGCGTTTAGATAAATTGTTACGTAAACAAGATAAGCCATACACATTTATGTGAAACTCGTACATAGCTAGAAGCTTTGCGACAATATGGGGTATGCTTGTAAATAGGATATTGTGTATCAAAAACACACACGAAAGCACACACAATTAGATCATATTTAGATATGTACCTCACTCTTCTAATTAATAACAAATTTTTAGGGATCCATACCTCAAAGGAAAAATTTAAACCCTCAGTGGGCGAGTCGGGCC